AGCAGTGGTATCAACGCAGAGTACTAAACCAAGCAATTTGACCGGAGGGGCCGCCTACGCTACTGATTATAGGCCTGATCTTGTAAGTTTCAGCCGACAATGAAGCTGTATCTTGCAAGGATAGTTTATGAGTCTTTATGAGACTAGCGTAGGCGGCCCCAATTGCTTGGTTTTTGCATAAAATTCTAAGTCAGTTGCTAGCAAAGATACCAGCTCAAAATCCAATACGATAGACTTTATCGAACAAATCCGAAACACAAAGTTTGACCCGCATAGTGTAATTGAGTCATTCGACGTGACCTCACTTTACACAAATGTACAAAACCATCAAGCTTTGCATGCACTATCGGAACTGTTAGATAAACACGCTGGATCTATCAACTTCTATGGACTTGGCAAGATGCGAGTTATGACCCTAGTGAGCGAGTGTTTACGCTGCAATATCTTTCGATGGTCTGGAGTTTACCACTCCCAGATCCGCGGGCTAGTTATGGGTCAGAGACTAGCACCGGTTCTCGCCATATGTTTTATGAGCAAAGTCGAAGAGCCTATGTTGAGTCGAATGCCGTTGATGTATTGCTGCTACATCGATGACTGTTGTTTGGTGACCTCTACACAGTCCGAAATGGACGAGTGTTTTAGGATCCTCAACCAACAGTCGCAGTACATCCGGCTTACTCGCGAAAAACCACGAGAGGGGTGGGCCTTACCTAAACACCCTGGTCAAGTTAAGCAATGGCATTGTAACAATGAAGTGGTATCGCAAGAATAGTTGCAAAAACATCCTCATCAATGCAAAGTCTGCACACCCCATGAGCACTAAACTATCTGTAATCGGCAATATGTTTAAAACAGCAACGATGGTGTGCACCGTAGAGGATGAACGCCTAGAAGCGCGATGTCTAGCCTCACAGATCGCCCGCAGTAACGGCTACGCAATTTTGGCGCAAACGCAATGTCGTAATCGTCAACAGCATTTACGCAAAGACCGCATTCGAATCGAAAACAAACTCGCACTCTGCCTCCCGTTTATTTCAGATAAAGTCAGCTCTGCCTTCCAACAATGCATTTCGCGGGCACAGCTATTAGACGGGTTGTTTTGGTTAACATACCGAACGACAATCTCAAAAAACAGCTTGTCCGTAATCGCCTTCACGATCGACAATGTATAACGGAGAATTGCATTGTGTGTCCATACAGCAGAGAAGGTGACTGCGCAAGGGTGGGAGTAGTATACCAACTCGAATGCCTCGATTGCAGAGCAGAATATATTGGCGAAACTGGTAGAGTGTTAAGGGTACGCTTGAAAGAACATCTGGCAGGCAAGAGACGGAAGAGTTTAGTAACCCCCTTGGGCAAACCTAGGAGTGACGCGCATGAGGGAAATGATTTTGCAGTCGAATGCAAAATTCTGGCGTTTAAAACAGATATTACGGCTAGGAAGATTCTAGAGGCTTTCTGGATATCCGCAAAGACTCCAGAAATGAATAACAAGAATGAGTGTCTGTCTATAACCGTTGAGTTTCTGCCGTATATGCCACTGTGTGAGTTGTAGATAGTGGATAGCAACTTGATGCGCATTCTACTGTATCACTCACTTGTCCGTCAACTTTTGTCACATCCAGTCGTACGGACACTTCGAATAGCGGTGGTGCAAGGGTGAGTATATCTGTCTTGAGGATTTTTGCGACGCGAAGTTAGAATGAAGTCGAAACTGGCTGAGTTAGAGGAGAATCTGGTGGTCTCGTATTACGGATGATGCCTTGAGTCGTTTTCAGGCCTCTGAGGGCGACGAAAGCGTCGAAACGTTAGGCCAGTACGAATAAATCTGCCACCATAACAAACCTGTAAGGCACAACAGAGTTGAAGATTATAAGCTATGCCCACGTTAAAAAAAAACGGAACATGGAAATCATCCTTGCACTCTTAAAATTAGGACTCTTCCACATTTGTAAGTTAAATCAAAATCTCTACTTCTAGCGTCAAACAAGCGTTTCTTGTGTCGCGTTTCCTCTTTACTCGCGAATGCTTTTTTGCTTGTTTTGGTTTTATTGGTTGCTGTCAGTCCAAAATCTGTCTCCGATAGTACAGCCAGGTTAGAGTTGTCCTTCAACCTAAAAACATGTTTATTTCCTAATCACCAATGTACAGGATTTGCTCGACTTTAATGGCCGGTGTAGTGGTCTATTTAAACGCAGATGTATTTTGCCTTACAAACGTGATGATAACCTATTGTGGAGACATATCTTACGTTTTATATCTTGTCCACTGGCCAATTATTGTGACAGCCCGATATGTTACAGATTCTCAAATACTGAATGCAAAAGGTACAAGTTAGTTCAAGGAAGTACTTTGATTGTTTGCTTGATTATCGGGCAAGAAGTGTCTCTTTAATCAAAAGTCCATTCAAAAGGAGACGCATTGTCGAATTCGGTGGTGGTGGCTGATCTAAGATTTCATTGAATCTTTCCTTAAAATTATTTTGAAGGAAAAGTGGCGCCAAAAACGTGTGTAAAAGCGTTGGTTGTTGAAGGTAAACCTGCATTAGACGAGCACCTTGCCCTACCCATTAAGATAGCACTTACTACAGTGTTTATCAAGTAATAAGGGTTGCAACTTTGAGATCTGCACTCATTACTGACTCCAACAACATGTATCTCATCTCACTAGCGAATTTGCTTAAAGAGGCATCCATATTGGATAAGTAAGTACGCTGTTGCAAACGAGACTTTTTTTTTGTTTTCCCTCAAAAGCCTGTGGAATTGGAGCTTGTCAAAATAAATAATCTCAAAGGGGTAACTTGCGATCTTTAGGTGTAGCCACTGTTCTTCTCGCTGCTTTCACGCTGTCAGTAGTGACCCATCACACCTTTGAAGTAGGCGGCTTTTCTTATTTTTGTAAAGGACAACTTGATATTGCTTGTTCAAACAATTACAGAAGTTCTTCATGAAAAGAGGAGTCATAGTGGCTTTTATGTGCGTGGTAGCCTGCTATGTGTGCATTCTTGGCACCAAGTCTATGTACCTATACGCTCCTCCACTAGAAAGCATCAATCCAAACACTTCAAGTACTGCACACTCAGAGTATGTGTGCACAACTTTGTTCACTGAACCATTTCAGAGATTGAATACGCTATCGAATGGAATATGAGAGAATCTCATAAAGTATACTACGCGATGCCGTGCAGTAGAGATGTCGACACTGAGCGTTATACAAAATTCAGGAAAGAACATCAGTTACGATGCGTTGCAGTGAGTGCGCTGATTGCATGTGACCCAAGGCTAGGCATAAGATCATACTGACCTTTGATCGCGATATTCATTCACTCAGTAAGAGTTCGGAGTTGTTCTTGAAAAAAGGATAGTTACTTGTGCTCATGAATATTAAGGTTGACGCTTGAAGTCAGCGTCCCACCAGACTAGGGTACCGATCTCCGGCAATAATGTAATAGTAGACTTCTGCAAACTTCTGTCGTCCCTAATTAAGGGACGACAGAAGTTTGCAGCGCGAAAGAGGTCTACAAAGTTTACAAATCGCTTCCGGGTGGCCCGGATCTTACGGTAATCTCGGGCGAGTACGAGACGCGTGTAAGGTAGAGACGCGGAGTCGTTGTTGGACCCTGCGCTCATCCTTACCCTATGCGTGCTCTGACCTTGAAGTCCGAAGTCGTTGTGCGGACGGCATTCGGGCCTCCCGTAAGATCTGGTCCACTTTCGGAGCAAATAAACTTGGTAGACACCAGTGGCGGTCCGAGAAATTTTTTTCGGGGGGGGGGGGGCGCGACAAAAATTTTTTTCTAAAGAAGGTGCGTGGCGTTAGCCACGCACTCCGAAAAAATTTTTGGGGTGCTTCTCAAAATTTTTGCGGGTCCCCGACCCCTAAAATCTGGAAAAAGGGGCGTAGCGTCAGCCACGCCCCCGAAAAAAAATTTTTATAAGGCTAAAATGAATTTTTAAAAAATTTTAAAAATTATTTTAATTATTTTTAAGTGCAAACAAGTCGTTTGCACATTTTTATAACCCATATAGGTAAGTTTCAAAAATTTCGCGACCCATTCTCGGGGGGGGAGGGGAGGGCGCGCGCCCCCCCAGCCTCCCCCCTCGGTCCGCCACTGGTAGACACCCTTTTTCGCTTCGAACTTCAGTCATCGCTTAGGTAGGGGGGGGGTCTACGCCACAAAAACCCGGCACCCATCTTTTTGCCGGGATGCTGCCTTTGAGTGATGAGCCTTCTTTTTTAAGCAACCGCAGTGGGAATATGAGAAATAGGTGACAATGCTCGTTGAAGCTAAGCACGCTCCAAAAGATGACTAGCATATATCCGCGTTTGTAACCCGCATAAAGTTTAAAAACCCTACAAAACTTTTGCTTAGCTATCACACGATATTTGCACACAAATATTCATCATATGTATTCGCTTTTTACAGCTGTGAATTGAGAAAAAATAATAACTTGACACAGCCGCGCTCTTTACATGTAAACTTGTATTTTAGTATAAATTCTTGAAGTAGAACCTTGAAATTTCTATCTTGCAAGTGCCATAGTTGCGAAAGATATCACCTTTACCCAACAATCCATAAAAGGGAGAATTATGACCTAATTTTGTGGCTCAACTCCTAACTTTGATAGACAGTTCAGCAACTACAGTTATGGGTCTTTGAGTGTGCGATGGTGATAGAGGCTTGCAAAACTTTTTTGATTGAGATTTGTTTTTTGCTGTGACTGATTTCATTTTAGATCCAATTGGGTTAGATCGCAATTTCTCAGAACAATTGGCAGTTTTGTCTTAAAGCTTGCTTTGAATAGCAGTTCTCGTGCACTTTAGTTTACATTTGCTGTCGTATAAGAAGAGTCAATTTCTTTTGCACCAACTCTGTAACCGAAGAAATTCCAAAAATTTTCTAAAAATTTAAATTGGTTTGCAAGAAAAAAAATTCTGAATGTGGTGACCAAAGACTCAATAAAAAGTTTTTCAGAAAATGAAAAGTTGAAAGTTTTTAGACACTGAGCGTAATTTTGAATTTCTCAAAGATTTTTCGCTGAATACGTTGTCCTTACAGAATTGAAGAGCGCTATGAAATGGTTATTGTGCTGAATGGCTCAGATAAGTCAACTTGTTCCGTTTTACATTTCTACACAATAACCACTGACTCTTGCTTTTTTCATAGTAAAAATTTTGCCTTAGATTACCTAAATGGAATTAAACCCTCAAGATACAATCACGCTTAGTCCGTGCTTCACTCCGCACTAGAAAGACCTAAATCGGGAAAGGTGTTCAACATCAACTTGCAAGGTCTAAGCTACTGCGTTAATCTTACCTGAAAGAGCATCCACCAACGAAGTCATTGTGCTATGACTCGAGGCTGTGCAGCGATGTGCCTTACATCACACCTCGAATCTTCGTCTGATGTAAAAATTTTGTCTCAAGTTATCGTCTCAAATGCAAGCTTTTCAGTGGTACGTTCTAGCACGCCAAATTCATATGGAATTCTCAAAAGCGAAATCTCTCTGCATTCTATTGTTAGCTATACTGCTTGTCGACCAGGTGTTCAACAACTGTCACTATCGTGAAAGCATAACTGTATTACTAACCGTCTGAATGTCAATTTAGCGCCATCGACATTTGGAATTGGCCAGCATGAAAATATTAATCGCTCTCAAAAGTTTTTTTTTTCTTTCTTTTATCTACGCTCTTTTCAGTGCCGATTAGTGCCCTAACAAGGGAAGTTCACTTAGTCGAAGTGGCGATTCGGAAGGAGATCTATACCAATGGATAGAGCTTAAAACGCTGATCTCAGATATACCTTCTATATCTGCGACCCATTGTTCTAAAAAAAGTTACGAGCTTTTCTAAAGCCAAATTTTCGTGCATTCTGAGTCGCAAAATTATGATAATCGCTACACAAAAGTGTGCAAGATTAAGCAAACCACTTAGTAAGCATTGTAGATCTAATTCGAGTTCATCCGAACGTTTTCGAGTGTTTTCCGACTATGTTGTTTATCCACAATTTCCAACCGCCATTTCGTTCCTAATTCACACTTCCATTATATATACAAAAAAGCCCATAACCTCCATCTAGAGGAACGCGTCGCAGATATTCAAGATAAGTTTGAGTAGTTTCCAAAAAGTTTCCGACGCGAAGAGTTTTTCTAAATGGAGGTTTTGGGGCTTTTTTGTACACATAATGGAAGTGTGATCTAGGAATGAAGTGACGACCCGTGGATGAACAACATGGTCGAAAAACACTCGAAAGCGTTCGAATGAATTCGACTTAGACCTACAATGCTTACTAGGTGGTTTGCTTGAGCTTGCACACTTTTGCGTAGAGATTGTCTTGATTTTGCGCCTCAAAATGCACTAAAATTTGGCTTTAGAAAAGCTCGTAACTTTTTTTTAGAACAATGCATCGCAGATATAGAAGGTATATCTGAGATCAGCTTTTTAGCTCTATCCATTGGTATAGATTATCTTCCGAATCGTTCGACTAAATGAACTTCCCTTGTAAGTGAGGGCTATTACATGGGTTATTGATCGAGAATGGGAGTGATTTATAAGTTTGTTGCTTTGGACTGATTCAATCTTTTTTTTCTTCTTAAATGATTGGATCGCTTTAGACAAACTAAGAAAAGTGTTGTGGCTGCCTATGCTAGTCTTGTTTTTTGCTTACCTTGCACAAGAAGTTTCAGTAAAGTCTAATTTTTACTCACGATTGAGCTAAACAAACGATCATACAGTAACTTTCTACTTTATATGTTGTCACGATAAAATTACCTCCCGTTTCCGGTGCAATATGCAGTTGGAAATTAAGATGACTTTAAATGGGAGGTTTCAAACATGGTTTCAGTGGCAAAATATCGTGCTCATTAGTGTTGCAGATACAAATAATCAGGTATTCGTTATGAAGCCTATGCCACAGGGAACTTTACCTTTACCTTTGCGGCCTTTTCAAGTGTACGGTCTCCGTAAATAGTCTTCTTTGAAACAAGATTTCTATGTCCTGCTGCGTTCTGTTGAGGCTTTAGAATAATAAATATGGGGTTTATGATCATTTGAAGCTCAAGGCTGTATCATGACTAACTCTGCTACCGACTTTATCGTCGTTTTAGAAAGGAAATGGCACTGCAAATATTATATTGATCGGGAACTCAATTGCATACAGAGCATACCCGTTGTTTCACGATATACTAAAGGGACGCTATCGCAACTTCAGACTTTATTCAAGAAGCTGTTCGTTTTTATTAATTTAACAATCCCTACATATTTTTGCTTCGTAATACAGCATGTCCACCATTATCGAATCTGTGTCCGGATTTCACTGAAGCAATGAAGAAAGTAGTGCAACATGAAAATCCAGACATATTATGGTACATGCATTTCGCCTTGTAAGTTTAAATTCGTAATCTTTCAGTGAGCGCCGATTTATGTTTCTAGATACCCTTCTTTTGTTGCGCCTTTTCGGAATCTTTCCAAAGATCGAATCTACAAAGAGTTCCAGGGAAACATTGACTTCATTAGGTAACTGACTGTATCATATGGAAGGCATGAAAAAGCTGTCAAGTCAATTTCTGTCAAACAAATAGCTAGCAACAGCAAATTGAATATGAAATGTTTACAAGCAAGAACTTTACCATTTGCTCCTCTTTTCAAACCTTAGCCACATGATAATTTTGGATTGAAATTTGACCCTCAATTATCACGTAGCTACGGTTTGAATAGAGAAGCACGTCATCGTTTAAGCAATTACACGAAACATATTGTCATCGATATGCCCTATTATCGGACCCCATTTAACGCTGGAGTGAAGCTTGCCAAGAGGCTGCAGTATGGGCTCCCACCTGGTGATGAATTTGTGGTTACTCGGCAGGTGTGTTAAGCTTTCGCCATTTTCTTTTCAACATTTTATTTCAGCAGCTCATCGAACAAACACAATATCACCGACTGCGGCTGAGTTCATTAAATTGCAGCAAGTGTATCATGAACGAAATAAATGATGTGAGAAGATTCAAAAAATTTTAAAAGATAGAAATTAAACAAAAAGTGCACACAGCATTGAAAAATTGCACGTAAGATTGCCCAAAAGAAGATATAGACCGAGAAACAAGAAACAGATTTGCTTCTTATAAGCACGTGTCGAAGAAAGAAGAATATGTTTGACTTTTACTTGTTAAAAATAGTTGGAAGAATAAAGGCTGAAGGTGGAGATGACTTCTTTGACGATGTAAATCCTACGAAAGTGCCTTTTTACATTTTCCGCTACTGATTTCGTGAAGTATTAAGTCTTTGTATGAGAACTGGTAATCTGGCTTGACAACAACGGATGAATGTGCAGGTTAAGAATTCAAGATCTTGAGTGATTTTGCTTTGATCTTGCCTTCTCTGAGTCATGTTTTCTGTAAGCCTTGTATTAGGTTGTAACAAAATTAATGCAGGCTTTCCACATTTCTTTTTCAAAGTGTTGGTTCAAAATAAAATTCCATTGTCTAAGAAAACTATGCATACCTTCTGAAAGCACTCTTCTTCTAGCTTCTCAGGCACGCTTTCTTTTCAGGTGAATTGGGTTCATTTCGAAATTACGTGCTTTTGAAATCAAGAGACTAAACCTTGAAATTTTTTCCTTTTACACTCTTTGCACTAAATCCACCGCGAAAAATCGGAGTTTCTTGTAAACTGGCACAATGTTTGTGTGAGATTTTTTAACAAAATGCACATTGAAGCAAGTTTCTCGAAGGTTTTCAGACTGAGAAATTTTATTTTAAACCCACACAACCGCTGCTATCATTCTGCGAAGTATAAAAATCCTAAATGCGAAGCAATTGCGGAGCTTTCGCCGTGCGCAGAAAGAATAGACATAGGACACATAACAGCAAAAAACCTGGAGCTGTTGTCTTCTTCGGCGGCGAGAAAATTCAAAAAACAGCAAAAAAAAGCCCTTTCCGGCTTTTGAGAGCACTTGTGAAAAATGAGTGATCACAAAGTTTTTGCAATACTTTCTAGCAAAATTTTTTTTCGTGAAAATCAACTTTAACGCTGTTGCACAAACGACTACTATCTGCACAGTAAATGAGATTTGTACCGTTCTACTACATTGTCTAGTGAGTTATGGTCCCTCAAACTGAAGGTTTTTCAAGAAAATTCTTGGCAGTTTTCGGGCTATGAAATTTTTCTCATTAAAGCTACAACGATAAGGTAGTGCGTGTTCATTGCCAGAGGTTTGCTGATTGCAGTAATTTTTATTGGAAACTAGTTGACTTACCCGACTCCGCCCGGGCCCTGTCATTATTGTATTCGTAATCAGCATGCTCGATTACCCCCCCCCCCCTGTGCCAACTCCCAGCCCCGTAGCTCAAATTTTGCAAAAATCGATAAAATCGATATCGATCGATGACGAAAAGTAGCCTATGACACCCGCCGGGGCCCGAAGTGTATGTGTGCCAAGTTTTGTCCGGATCGGTTCAGAAATGGAATTTTCTATTCGGAACATACGTACAGACAGACATGCAGACAGACATACAGACAAACAGACATTCAGCTTTATATATAAAATGGATTGACTATTTCTGCGAAAAGTTTTAGTAATCCAAACTCAAAATTTGGAAAACCGCATTAATTCTGTTACAACCTAATACTTGATGCATGCTTAACATTTAATTAAGTTTTGTAGCTGTCCGCAATATCCGTATTTGTCAGACAACGTCCCCTTCAATCAAAATTTAACTTTAATATGCAAGTAAAACCTAAGTGTAACACACTAGCTAGGGCTGATATGCGTGGGACACTCGAAATGGGCGAAGATAAAAGAAGAAAAATTGAGTTATGATCTAGCAAGTAGAATAGGCAGCATCAAAACAATGTCCGGGCAACCCATTTGCAGTCACTACGGTGCAAGTACATGGAGGTCGACAAACATTGATCAGCGCATAGCACCGACTTTTCTTTCTATCTACCCATCGTTTGCACTGGACTATTTTTGCGAAACCACTTGTTGGGTTTTGTATTTTTGTATTTTCATAATATTTTCAAAATTGTTATATTTTTTCGGGTTGAAGCAAATGTGTACAATTTACGTGCAAGTAATATTAGGTTGATGCAAAAGTAAGACACATTTTGCGAGTTCTCAATTCTTGCCATAACTTCTTAAAGAGTCTACATTTTTTGATGTCAAAAAGACCATCAAAGCCACTAAACCTTTCGCAATACAGCGCACATCCTTTTGTACTCATATCACATACGGGCAGAAATTTTGATTGATGAGCAAGAAAATATTTTCTAAATTTGTCTCAAATTGATCATAACTTCCTTCAAAATTTGTTAGTAAAATTATAAGTGGCCCATTTTGTAGCCGCGAGCCGGTAGCACAGAGGAGGAAAAAGAGGCTCGAAAAAAGAAGATTTGGGAAAAGAAAAACTTTCAAATCCCAAAACAAATCACAAACTCCAAAATTATAAGCTTTTTTCAACATTTTTCCCTAGGCCTTAAGTCCTAAAATATGATTCGGTTTTCTGCGTACTGAACAGCTAACATACGTTCTTGCAAAAACTATAAACAGGAGGTCTACCTTTACGCCTACAAATTTGAACAAATCTTTGGCGACTGCCTTCTTCACAAGAAATTTATGGGCCGCAGAATGGCCAAAACGACTACCCATGTTAAGACGCCGATATCCTAGTCTACTATTTTCTGAGAAAATAGCAAGCGTACATAACGTGGACAATTTTCATTGCATACTGTACTAAACTTCCAAAAAATGCCTTCGTTTGCGCTTTAATTCTGGCTGTATAATTAAAAGCAAAGAAATTTTGGTTTCGAGTGCGGCTGTTTTAAGCTCTGTAGTTAAACAAAGGAGGCTAGAAGCTTGCTTCAACAATCTTTTGTTTCAACATTGGATAGAGCATGAAAAGAGTTTTGATAGTGTGCCAAATCATTTGCAAAAAAAGGAATCTTGATGGGAAAAAAATTCTCCAAAAACAAAGGCCAGAAGAACGCGCATTGCTTTTGCACCAATCTAATATGTTTGAATGTCGATAATAGAGTTATCTTATCACTATACTTCAGGCTCTCTTCAAAGATGGGCTTTTCTATGTGTACGATCCCAAGACATTTCTTGTTCGACTTGGAGATGGTCTTCATATGACCCCTGTGGGACTCGAATTGCTGCGACCGCTGTATACGAAAATTATGGATAGGCTACTTCAAATGCTTCCCAACTGAGTTTGATCAGTTTACCAGACTGATGTTGTTAACTTTGGAAATTGCTTGCAATTACCTTATAGTCTGCAGCGTGCATTATAATTATAGCTACGCCACCTGGACGTATTATATAGCAAGAGTCTAGAACCATAAAAAATGTGATGAGTTGTTAGCTCTCGTAGTTTGTCGTACATTGAGTTAGCTGATTTGTCTGACTGTATGATAAAAATGAGAAAATATGCAGTGGCATAGCGCTCAACTTTGCGAAATACCTTCGATACACAGTGTCATGTACATATTCAGGGGACTTTTGCTTTTTTGACGGTGAAATCGCATTTTCGACAGATATAGAAGAAACATTGCGGTTTACTAGGGATAAGTTGGGATAAAAAAGCTTCAATAAAATGAAAACCTTATGCTTATATCGACGTCTCTGAGCGATAAAAGGCAAATTTTCGAAAATTGATTTGAAAAATCATTCAGCGGAAATTCCCGAATACTGAGCTTACAGCATATCAAAATAAGTGAAATAAAGCGAGTGGAGTGCAAGTGTTACGCAGGCAAGTGTTACCACAGCTGGCGCCAACGCTTCAGGTGAGCTACAGTAAGTTTGCCATCATTGTTCAAGACCTGTTTAGAGGTTCACAGCAGCCTCACCTTCATGCGCTAACCAAGAGGGGATACTCGATCGCAGTGACGATTGGGTAAGCGGTGCCTACGCGTATACCGTCCCCTGACGGTCATCTCCAAAGCGTACTCCATAGCTGCTATGAAGTCATTCTTGATAAGCTGTGAAAGATTTTGCAGAAACGCAAAACCCGCGGTATCCAAGGGGGATCGAACCTACGACATCCATCTCAGCAGTCCTAGCCACTATCCTCTGCACCAGTCGATCGCGGCGGTGATGAGGAAAGTCTTGTACTTGAATGCGCCTACAGCACCAAAACTCCTGTATAGCTCTTCCAGAATGACGTCATAGCAGGTATGGAGTGCGGTTTAGAGATCACCGTCTGGGAAGGTATACGCGGTATACACCGCTTACCCAATCGTCACTGCGATCGAGTATCCTTCCCTTGTAAGGTGCATTGCCTCAAATTGAGGTGCCACAAATTTTATATCGATCAACATCCCACGAGTTTATAATCTAATATTAACTAAATTAGTATGGAGAAAAGAGATATTAGTGAAAAAAGTATTAGACTAGGAAAAAATTTTGAAAAGCAGAAAAATACAAAATGAATTCTCCCATGCGCTTAAGATATAAAATGTATGATTTTATGCAGATCCATTAGATATCAGTTGACACGTAGCGTTTTATGAAATTCATCGTGAACTAATTTTGAGAACAGGAATGCTTCAAGATTCTATAGAGAATCAATGGATATTAACTGAATTCTTTTATGTACCAAAAATATAGAAATTATATTTGGCGCAAAATACATAAAAGCATATAACTAATGTACAAAACTTATAAAATATAATTTTCGTCTGAAATGTGTGAAGCGGACATGACAGCTTTTAGGCGGATATGAATTGTATGAAACAGTACCTGGCAAGTGACCTTTAACGTTGCACAAAATCATGGATTTTGTATTTCGAGCACTCGGAATACTCACTTTGCAGTTTTTTCGGTACTTTTCCGTTATCCGGACCCAATTTTTTAAAATGCTCTCATGAAATACGTTCTTTAGACTAAGAATAATTTTTTGTAGATTCCATGAGGACTGCGTCCCTGCCACGTGTCAGGAAAACATTGACACGTTCTGGTTCATTTTGACATGTTTTTTTCGAAATCATTTCCGGTGAGGTAAAAGAGCGTCTGTAATTACCTAAAAGCTGTTTAATTGTTTTCTATGCGAGCAAAACAACCTAAAAGTTATATTAGAAGATCTTGATCGCTTTTAGCAATAATTCAGCATTGTCTTTCTCTTCAAACTTTTCGCCTTGCGAATTTAGCCAGACGCTGCTATAAATGATGGCTTGAAGTTCCTCGCTATTGCTTGTTTTTTCACTTAGATAATGGGATCCCAGCCCACTTCTCTATTCTGGGCAAGTCTAATCTGTTTAGTTAATAACAGAATGACGTTATTAGGACAACAATGTTAACTTCTGACACTCTTCAATCGAAAATGGGGCCACTATCGACTAAAAAAAGATTGAACTTACGTAGATAGGTAGGACAGCTTAGACTCTTGGTTAAACCTGTTAAACCTGTAAACACATGTCAAATTTTTTTGACACGTGGCAAGAAGGTTGACACTCCTTCCTGTGAAGCTGGGACCAAATATAGTACGAGGAAAGGAGCAATATCCTTTTTTGAAAAAATGGGTCCGGATAACGGAAAAGTACCGTTTTTTCTACTTTTCCGGAATTTTTTTGCTTGTTCTTCAATATCTACATTCACTTTCATCTTTCATTCCATTGTAGTGATCTGAGTAACGACTGATAAAACATTTGAGCAGCATGAAACAACTGCTTTTCATAGTTTTACTTGCAAAAAATTTTTCCTAAGAATTCTTCTGTAAATATGGATAAGTGAGTTGCCTAACTATTGCACTACAAACCAGTCGTATCCAGGAAGATTGATGGAGTTCTATACAGGACCCGGCAGGAGGTGGCATTTCAGAATTTTGAAAACGATATCCCCTTTAGAGCCAAAATTTCTTACGACTTCCCCTTTGACCCTATTTACGACCCCCGTAAGTCCCTGACAAACAGATATACACAAATAATAAGATGGACGGCCTCAGCACTTATTATAGTAGTACTAACTGGTTTTCCTGGTCCAGCCCCATCAAGGTTTCAACTCAATGGGTTCATCCGCAAAGGAATCTAGGAAAAAAACATAGGGTCAAGATTTGCACAAACTTTGACGTTTGTATATCTAAGATACTACTCATTTATTAGTCAGCTGCGAAACTTTACAATTTACAATAACCGATTGCGATTGGAGCGCGCTTTCTGAGGCCGATCATAACGCTGTGAATTCTATTTGGGGCTGTATCGAAGCGGTGCCTTGGTGGTTTTAGAAGCGGATTTGAACTATAGTAATACTCTCGACCTAGTCCACATTTTTGTAAAGAAATCCGGGAAATTATGTGAAGGGAAGCAGGGAGCCACCCCAGGTGGCGAGCCACCTAATTTCGAAAAACACACCATTTTTTAAACTCACATAAGTTTCTCATAATTCTTCATACTTTTTTTGTGTTCATGGTCCTCCAACTACAAGCAAATTTGGTGCCATATCGTTACTTGTGCATTGAAAACGAGCCTATTTTGTTATTTTCCTCTTACAAGAATTGCGATTTGAATTCCCGCCTACGGGCAGGCTAGCGATCGGAGCACAGAATCTTCACATTGCTGGAATCTAAGTTCATAGGACAGTAGCATCAACAAGGAATGATGAATAAAGAATGATATGTGCATTGTTTATCGGTAAATAAAGGGGAAGTCGTATTTTGGGCTCCGGGGCTCCGCCCCGGACCCCAAAATACGACCTCCCCTTTGCTTTTTCGGGCCAAAAACGATATCCAGCTTGTGAAAGCGCCACCCCCGCCGGGCCCTGGTTCTATATAAGCCAGACTATGAGCACACTACTTGCGCCAAAAGCTGCACACGAAATGCGGTTTCATCTAGTAGATTTTCGATCTCGGCGATGCCGTCAGGACATCTAGTCATCTCATAACGATTAAAATGTTATGTAATGTTGAAAAGCCTGTTTAGAGTCGGAACCCGACGTCCCGTTGTCTCCACCGTCTGTTCTCTGCTCGTCTGCGCTTCCACTTGCTGCACGCTACGTAGCTACCCCCAAACGCTCCGCGCATTTGGGGTTAGCTACGCTCCTGTAACCTTTCTTGCCCAAATCCAATTTTGGCAGATCATATATCATCTTGTAGCTCTTAATCTATATTCAAATGACTATATCGCCAAGCTGCTTTTTTCTTCTTACAGAAAAATCTTGCAGAAACTCTGCTTCCGAAAAGCTTCATCTTCTCTTGCGATTGAACTTTTTACGAGATTGTTCATGAATTTGATAGACTTGCTCGTGTGTAATGTAGACAACATCGGCAAGCTTAATACTTTCTTGATTACGAATTCAACTGTGTCCCCGCTGATTCTCAAAGCAGCTTTGATAAGAAGATATATTAAGGATGGTCATATTTCTTTCCCTGTGGAAGGATCGAGCCAGTCTTTTGCCCAACCCGCAAGCTTCGAAACAAAGGATTGGTTGAACGGTTTGGCCACGGGGAAAAGGATGTTCAATCCTATTAAAGCTCATGAGGCCTTGTCTATTCCCACACGGTTGTCGCCACGCGATCTGGCAATTTGAATCCAATACTGCCAGACCGCATACATAACATGTACAACGGTCGCAGATGGATAAAATGCCCTATCCTCTCCACATCCGGAACTCACGCACGATGAGCTATGAACAAAAACTACTGCCAAATCGCGTCGTTACTGAATTCTCGTGAAGTGTGGCCAAGGCCAAAGATGCCAGTTCAAGTTTAGCAATTTGAGCCTTTTACTCTTTTGAGACTGGGGGTTCTATAACCAAGGCTTTTCAATGAAACATTTAGAGCGAGGGAAAATGTGAAGAAGATTATTCATCAAAGTTAGCAGTGATCTACTCAGACAGCGTTGTGGATTTTGTTTGTTTACTGTTGCGGAAGTGGAAAAGCTGAAAATGGGTTCGCAGGATTTTCACGGCAAAGTGGCTGGGAACAGGAACTTCCGCAAGACTTCACGAAGCGCTGCGGAAATTCCGAAAAATGCCAGCGGTTCCGCAGCACTTTGACCGCCAGTACTTCTGCTGTTAAATATGTTACAGTCTGCCTCAATCCCAACAGGCTAAAAGCATGGCGGGAATCCGCGTCTTGAGGGTATTGCGTCACGTCTAAGCTGGCTTGTCTGCTCTCTCCTCAATTTCCTCGCTCTCTGCGACAGCGAGTGTATGCAGCGCAGACCCCTAGCGCTGCGAGCGCACGAATTCACGCGGTGGTCCTCATCCCGATTGGGGTAGACTGCACCTAGTACGGCATTGCCTCGCCAACAACGAGAGTGCATTGTTGAACATGGGATCAGAAGCACGAAGGACAGTCAGTGAGTCTTGTCAATAGAGCGAGGTTCGATCGTTTAGGTGTTCTCTATTGCTACTGTGGTACGCATTCCTCAGAACCTCTGCAGCACCTCCACGGAACTTCTGCAGGTGACCCGGTGGGGGAGACGGCCTTTTTAGCAAATTAGCAGCCTAATTATTGCGCGCCTCTGATTGGTCGGCGCTGCCGCGGCCTTGGGTAGGCGAGAGCTATGCTGTCGTTAGAGACGTCTGAATTGGACTGCAAGGCATTCTCATGATGAAAGAATTAAACAAGATTCTTGAGTTTTCCATGAAACTAAAAAATGTTATACGTGGGCGGCTTAAAGGCAGTGTCCGGGCAAAAACTCGATTTTGAGATCTTGTGCTTACCCGGGCCTATTCGCTATGCTGAATCCGAAAATCCACATTGGAAAGCGCGAAAACGGCGAAAAAGGGCTCTAACACAGGAGGGAAATCAGCAGGTGGGCGGGGCTTTCCCCAGTGCGATTTCACGCTCCCAGCTCCCGGAGCGATTTTCTCGAATCCGCTAGCCGTTCTAACATCGCTGCCGGTCAAGTGCGAATGACTGACTTGAAACCGTAAGCGAGAAGGTCGCTCCGGAAGCCGGGAACGTGAATTCGCAGTGGGAAGGACCCCGCCCACCTGCTCATTTCCCTCCTATGTTAGAGCCGTTTTTCGCCATTTTCGCGCTCTACAAATCTCAAAATCGACTTTTTGCCCGGACACTGCCTTTAAGTAAATTCTTCAGCTTGCACATGCAGACTTCATGGTGTTTTGAAAAGTGGGACGAAGAAATCACGAAAAGCCAGTAGAAAAAACATGCAACTTTTCCAAATTTTTGTCTTCATATCAACCATCGTCACTATCGTTATTCGTGTGCCTCGCTTGCTTTGAAATGCTTAGAAATATTTGGAAACTTTGATTATAAGAAAGGCGGAGTAATTAGCGCCGCCCGGGCAGAGTAATTAGCGCTAGGACGAAGCGGTTCAGAAGGGCATACACCCACCCGGTAGAACTTTCTCAAGCGTTCTGAGGGAGTTCCGTTCAGTTGTCTGAATTGTTGATTTTATGAGAAGGAGATACTTCCTCTGCTTTTGCAGTTTAGAACACTTCTAAACTATCGTCGAATTCTTGACCGCACGGACTGCTCAAACGCTGCGGACCAAGCGCGATGCGGCTGAACTGATGTGAGAGAACGACTTGCACAATGGCAAATTTGTACTGGGGCAAGCATTTTACCTCGCGACGCGTGCTCCGCAGTGATGTCCAGTCCGTGCGGTCAACGAATCAACTATTACGTGTATCCGCTTTCGCCTTGAGAATTTGCTCTTGTTGTTGCTGTTGCTTTTATTGCAGTATTAACATTATTCTTTTGTGTTCAGTATATGCCACAAACCATTATCCGTCGGAATCCGGCGCTGACCTTAGCTACAGTATATAGCTAATGCGACCATAAAAGGCGACCCAGCTGCTTCTTATCTTTCCTTTGGCTATGAATCTTACTTATCACATTAAATTTTACTTACCACATCATTAGGTCATCCTGAAACTATCATTTGTCTTGTTTGTACTCTGATCGTGCCGATACTGGAAATTCTTCTCTTCTTGGATACTCTCTCAATATACCATAACGTGCAAATACTAAGAAACTGATGTTTCTCTAGGATATCTCAGGGAATTTATCGTTATCAAGATATCCCAATAACTGTTCGCCATAATATGAAAGGGTTTTATTTGATGAAGTTAGAAAAACCTCTGCTCCTCAAAACGTGCACATTGTTCAGGGAGATGAAGTCATCCTTAGCAATGACAATCTTGTTTTGAAATCCTTAACAACAAAAGATTTCGTGAATGGTATTTCTACATTATCCATCAACACCATCTGTTAGCAAACTCAGGTCCCCATTCATTACTTGAATACGGATAGCGAAATGATTAGTCATATTGTACGACCTAGAGGATAAACAACACATCATATCGAATGCAGGACCACTTTGTGATCTGATAAGTGACCCGTAACGGCATTCAATTACGAAAACAAGAAATAAACATTACGAAAACATTGTTAAAACAAACATACAACATCGAACAGTAAAAAAAGAACAAAAAAAGCCCCGGCGCAGGCACGCTTGCAGCAGTCTTCACAACATAGCTCAAAACTTTCAAAAATGAATGTTTTTTACAAAAAATAGTTGTAATAGACTTACCTTTTCGATTCACATCGTTTCTGAAAAAGAATACATGTCAAAACATCAAAAATACTTACCTTTTCAACATGGACGCTGCCACGGAATCAGCTGATCGAAAATGCTGCGCCGCGGCTAAGCGTTTTGTCGCGCGCGAAAGTACGCAATGGCGCTCGTCGGTCCGCCTCGCCAAAGTTGGGGAGACGATAATAAGAGGCAGCCGGGTCGCCTTTTAAGGTCGCGTTAGCTATATACTGTAGCTAAGGCCACCGCCGGATTCCGACGGATAATGGTTTCTGTATATGCCTGTCATAGGACATCGTAACGAATCAAATAAAATGAATTTAACTCACTTATAAAAACGTGGCAAACGATGCTGGACTGACAGCGGAAAAAAACAAATCGAGACTTTCGCCTACACCTTCAATTCAATGTCTTTCCACTATCGAATCTATTCCGTTAACACTTATCAATTAATTATCTTGATATGCAGCTATCAAGACAATTTATCCTAAACTCCGTCCTCTCCGGGTTACCAAGTCGAAAGCATGATGACCATGTAAGGAGTGCAAATCTCTGTTTCATTTCATTTCTTTTACAATTACGACACATGCATGTAAAGTCTGTAATGGCGTACCTCGGAATTTCCTTCGATCGATTGGCTGGCGCCATTTTCGTTGTGAAAAAGGGAAGTGTTTCGGGATGGAAATGGTTCTTTGATTTCGTAGCTATCTATCTTCCTTTGTGTGCGATGAAAGAGTTTCTATTCTTTTTGCATCGGCTTCTAATCTGTTTTGTTATTCTTGGGCTTTTCTGTGAACACACGTGTTCTTTCAGTTACCATCAATACTGGCCCCCACAGCTCGTGTGTCAAGAATCTTTTGAAAGGCAATTTGAAGGCATAGGATGCTAATAACATGAAGATTGAACTAGGTTTCAAACATGACGTGATCTTCCCACATTCGTATCACTATCGCGCGTTTCAGTGTGTTATCAGCCGCCGTTGCCCAGTCGCTTCAAAAATTGTGTACTTTAGGTAGTAATGCTTGTTTCATAGCTTCGACACTTGCTATTTTGCGAGAATGAGTGATGACGCATCCAGCATTCGCGCTTTTCTAGACTTACTTGACATCACAAAAGATACTTGGAAGGATGACCTGGAGCGGTATATTCTTGTTTTTATTAATGATATGTGCATAGGAATCTATTTGGTTCCATATAGATTTATTAATGAGAGGTTACGACCGTCGAGGCCGAAAAGGCGCATTCCTCGCTTCTCGATTGGCGAAATGGATGCGGAATCAGGTGATTGTTTTTTTTTCAAATTTTGTACTTTGTTGTTTGCTGACTTGATCATACCGTCGCTTACATGCGGAAGTATTAGCCGCTTATCTTTTTTCAAGTTTTAATCGTGTTGTGTGGTCCTTCTTCTAAATGTTATGCATGCGTTTCGGAGCTTTTGCAAGGTTAGCAGAGGTCGCCCGTTTCTGTACAAGGTAGTTGCCAGTATCAAAATACGCTCATTCTGTGCTGTTCAGCGTACTTTGAGGAAGGAAACACTTTGGGTGACTCTCCTAAGACAAATTTCAATGTAAAGGTTTGTTGACGAGTGGATAAAGGAGATTTAAAATCTCGAATGATTGCGACCACAGAAGTCTAAATGTCCCTCAAATGTCCCACTCTATTACACGCGCTCATTTTTGAAAACGCTATTTGAAGGCCATCAGCCCGCCCGCTTGCGTTAAGTGGGCGTCGATGGTGGCTTTTTGAAGCGCGTTTTCAGTACTTAGCGCATGACTTGGATTGTGGGGTTTTGGGTTACGGTGTACTTGGGTGATATACTATCTAACATCACTAATATCTGACAGGAGTGTATTTTGTCGAGCCATTGCCTATAATTAATCATAGGCTGCCAAAACATTTTTGCTGTTAAGATAGCGTTTTACTTGCCGGTGTTCCCTAAGCTTACAGTAAAAATCTAGCGTGCTATACGGTTTTCATATTACAAACGGTCAGGCAGATTCATAATTTGATAAGCCTGAACCTAGAGGGTGGAGCGCTACTCTGAGTTCAGCCTCACTGCTAGTAATTTATATCATATGAAGAAAAGTTATACCTTGGCTTCCATAAGTAGGGGTGCCGAAGTGGTGTTCGAAGCTATAATTAGCATCTTCTGACAACACATCCAAATCGATTATGTTGGAAATTTTGCTGGAAACCTGTTCTAAACCGTTTGTTCTACAATATTTTATTAGGCTGTCCCAAAGTAAACTCCTTTTTCAAATAAATCAAGCTGCTTTTGTTTTCCTAATAGACTTAGGGTCTCAATGGATAGAGCAGATCAATCTCCAAAATGACCACTAATGTTCCGCATAAGTCCCATTTCATGAAAGTTTGAAGCCAAAATCAAAAAAAATTACTACCTGAATTGAATTGAATTTCTGAGAAAAATTCCTGAGGACATACTTGGTCACTATACAGAAGACACATAGTAGTATCATATACGCCTTTATTGGATTTTTTCCGCGCTAGAAAAGGAGAAAAAAAGATAGACCGAAAATGACAAACTCCGCCCCCAGCCCTTCTTGCATATATCGTTGTACACTGCGAGCCTTATTAAGTGTAATCTCATTTACCCATGTATGTGCTCTTATAATGGAGAAATACTAAGATTTACATGCAAAATCCCGAAAAAAGTAGCATTTTGGCATTTCGAACCATCTTCGTTTCTCAATTTTGAGCTCCGGAAAAGAAATCCAACAAATCATTTTTGTATGTGTCTACTATATAAATACCAAGTTGGAAGTCCGTTGGAATTTTCTGGAAGGAGATCCGATTTTTAGGTAGCTGAAAAATTTTGATTTTTGGCTCCCGATTTTACGTCGATTAAGGCTTAGATTGATCTTGGTGGTCTTTTGAAGAGCTTGCTCAGCTTTATCGAATGGTACCCTAAGCCTGTTGAGAAAACAAAAACAGCATAGTTCATTTGAAAATGGAGTTTACTTTTGGGACAACCTAATAGCGTCTATCACAACCTGAGCACCTGCTGCTATCGTCCATTTCTGTTACGTGCTCGGATTTATGCTCATTTTTGTTCATCTTCTTTGATTCTTTGATTCTATTTTCCAGCAGCTGATTTTTCTTTTTAGACGATGAGTCGGTTGTGACATGCGATGCCTCCACGCAGACTTCTGGTGACGAAGCACAAGAGGAAAAGTTGACGGAGGCAAAGCCATTGGATCAGATCTCGAGAGAATGGACCGAAGGTGGTTATTTATCTCAGAGCGTAAGCTCCTACCTTTTCAAACTGCGATAAACTGGGGATTTACAGGAAAACCACTCTCAGCTAACGATGCACTACGTCTGGTGAAACGTGGCATCGTGAAGTGTCGTCAGTTGGAATCTCGTTTGGATGCCGAGACTGCCATATATGTTAGGCGTACCTTTGTCGCTCCTGATGTATTGAAGCAATTGCCGTATAAAAATTATGATTACAAATATGTAAGGAAGTTTTTTCGGTTAGTTCTAGTTCCGAACACTAATTTAGGTGACAAATTCATGCTGCGAAAATGTCATTGGTTACATGCCTATTCCTGTGGGTGTGGCTGGTCCATTGCGTTTGAATGGAAAGAACTTCTACGTACCGATGGCTACAACAGAGGGAGCCCTAGTTGCCAGCACTAATCGAGGTTGCAGTGCCGTCACGGTGCGTTTCATATAAAACTTAATTCAAGCTATTCAATGGTGAAATATCTTTTTACAGCGAAGTGGCGGCGTAACAGCAAATGTTTTCGAGGAGGGAATGACACGTGCTCCTGTTGTGAAGTTTCCAACTGCGCAAGAAGCTGTGTAAGTTTGTGATTACTTACATCCTTTTGTGAGGGGAAATTCTTTCTCTTTTCTCAATGTTTTTCTATGACATTGTCTTCATATTACTATAGCCCTCTTTAGTGCTTTGAAAGAGTGGTTCGATGTTCCTGAAAACTTTTCACTGATCAAATCTGAATTTGAGTCTACAAGCAGGTATTTTTGTTTGATTTACGGTGAGGACTGCAAAATATGCGCGCTGTATTAGGTTTGCACAATTACGAAAGGTGGAAGTGGCCATAGATGGCAATTTGGCATTTGTTCGGTTTGTGGCTTTCACTGGCGATGCTATGGGCATGAATATGGTCTCAAAGTAAGTCCCTTCTAGAGATTGTCTTTTTCTCTGTAGGTAAATCGAATCCGTTCAGAGGTTGTTCATTGGCTATGCATCTTTTGAAGCAGAAATTCCCCGCCATGCAACTTCTCGCACTTAGCGGCAATTACTGTGTTGATAAGAAGGCTGCAGCCATAAACTGGTTTGTTTATGTTCATTGATGGTGCGTGTTGTCTGGGGAAGATAATGGCGGAGTAATGCGTAGTAAGATGGGAGATCATGTTCCAAGAATGATTTAGGATCAATGGACGAGGGCGATCCGTGGTTGCAGATTGCACCCTTCCAGCGAGTGTAGTACTTTCCATCTTCAAAACAACACCTAAGCAAATGGCCGAAGCTGCACAGGTATGTCACCATACTATCTATACTCTATTTTGCTACTTTGATTGAGATAGTTCCTGATGTTTTTATTTCTGTCGTCATCTCGTATAGCAGTTGGTCCGGCAAAGTATATCTTCCTCCCACAGTAGCTGCTCTTGGTCTGCGTCTCTGACCTGCGGTGCACGTGGCCAACATGTTGGCACTAGGGTTGAAGTCAAAATGTTTGGCCAACAGTTAGCCATGCATTCGCAGGTCAGAGACGCAGACCAAGGGTAGCAGCAACTGTGGAAGGGACGATACCTGTACCTTCGAGAGACCAACCCTGTTGTGCAACACTCACTCTTTATTTCCAAAGCGAGGTGATTCTCGTCTATGGAGTAAGATGCGAGTGTCGAAATCGTTAGCTTCTGCCGCTCAAAAACGGGGTTTGAGAAGTTATAAAACAAAGGCCTAGGTTTTGAAAACAAAAAGCGCCATATCGAGCAAAATTTTCTTTTTCGAACGGTAGTACTTTGCCGTAGACCAGCCTCTTCATCAGAAAACGACAACAAAATTGAAAAGGCACGAACTCATGAAGAGAGCTATTGGTCATCTACGTTTTATAGTCGAAATTGCAATCCGGATCGGACAAAGCTGTCTGCATAGGCGGCAACAATGCTCACGCAGCAAATGTAGTAGCAGCGATCTTTCTTGCAACTGGCCAGGTAATATCAGCGTTTTTTGTGGTGAAGATGCATGGTCACTGCTGAGCGCAACCTGAGTGATTTTTTGTGTCACGTTCAGGATGCAGCTCAAGTTGTCTCCTCCTCGATGTGTTCAACTCGTATGGAAGAAACCGCTGAGGGTGATCTTTACGTAAGCTGCACGATGCCCTGTGTGGAAGTTGGTACGGTGGGTGGTGGGACGATACTGCGACCTCAGAATGAGTGCCTACAGGTTCGTCTTATAATTGAGCTACTGAAGTCATTTGTTCGTTGTTGTCGCCTAAAGTCTTGCTTTGTAGATGTTATCTTGTGCCGGTCCTTCACCAGATACTGCGGGTGCACATGCACGTCGATTAGCAGAAGTGATTTGTGCAGCAGTGTTGGCTGGAGAATTGTCGCTGATGGCAGCACTTGTCACCGACCAGCTGGTCTCTAGTCACATGAAACTCAATCGGTATATGGTTCTTTCAGTGCTTTAAATCGTTTTTAACTGTAAATAAATTTTAGTTCGCGTTTGCAACTCTATAATACGTCCTCGCCGCAGCTCTCATCGTCACAACCATCAGAAGAGAAGCCCGTTACGATGCTAAGGAAAGTTTTGGATAAGGAACCACGTCTCAAAAGAACTTCTATAAAGGTTGAATGTTCAAATATCCTTTAGGCTTCTGTTTCGACTTGTTTTACTTCTTTGTTGTTTTTCTAAGTGATCTTTCTCTAAATCGCGCTATAGCGCAGCTCTTTTTTTGTAGTTGTTTATTCTACTGATGTTAAATGGAGTTTCACAATTCCTCCAACTCTTTGGCGCTCTTTCTTCGTTCTGATTGTAACTTCCCCTTATATATCTCTTGATCTAGTGATTTTTTTGAGCCTTAATGTGATATTTTGAAGCTTCCATGTTTGAAGTGGGCTTTATCTTTATTTTGAGTTATATCACTTCTAGCTTTGCCAATCAGGGGTCGCTAACTTGATCGTAAGAACAGATAAACTAGCTGCTGGTAGAATATTGTTTCTGGCTATCGTTGCTCAGCTTGAAAGATATGATAGTTACACACACTTGTTAATAAAGTATATACTTACCTGAATACTCACATGATCTGCCTTCTCGTTTCGTGCAGGCCTCAGCACGTTCCATTAGTTCCCGTCCCTCGCTTGCGACATCCACGAAGTTTTTGTGGTGTCTGCACGCTATGGAGAAACGGATCCGCAGATTTCTCACTTGGTCTATCTGTTCCAAGAACACGTTTGCCCATTTCTTTGTTGGTCTACCTCGACGGTGTTTTGGTTCGCGAGTTATCCATCCTGAAGTCGCTAGTGTACATCTGGCGAAGCACCAGCATCTCACGATGTGAGAGGGCCGGTGCTTCGCTTTCGCAATGGGTATTCGCTAGCTCATGAAGATGGGACATTCTTCTCATATCCGTACTACAAATTACGACAAGGTTTTGCTTGCGTCGGGTAATGTTGAGGAGTGCGCTCCAGCGCTAAGGGGTCCGTAAAGCTTTCCATTGGACGCACTATCTCAGGTCTCACATAGGGAAATCAGCATGTCGCAGTGATTGGGATGTGGTATATACTCGGATTGAAAGCTTCGTTCCTCCACCCCGGCCACCTACACGTATTTTGCAGCGATTTTAGCGCGGGATAGCTAAAAAAGCTCTTTCACCGATTTTGTGTGCTGCCCAGATATGGGTATAACATACCGAGTAGGCTCCGAAGCGGAAAAGATCGGAGAGCGCTATTTTCGACACTGCTATTAAGAAATGACGCCTGATAGTCCGCAAACTTTGTAGAAATAGAAATGTTAGCAATCTTACGTGTGAACACACTTTTGGAACACCCTGTATAATCTTCTCATTACAAACAACTGAAAGAAAGCAGGGCTCACTTTCTGCTCACTAGTAGATTTCAGCAATTCGTTTGCCCAAGTTTTTTGGCTGGATAGACTCCTAATACTCACTCAAAATTCGAATGTCGGCCATATCCTGCCTGATGTCACTTTCCTTTCAAAAAGTCCATTTGGTCAGCACGTTAATCATCCGATTCCAGCCATGTTTCGGATAGCATTTGAGTTGAAGCACATAATTGTAGGTGAAAGTGGTAGCGTCAGGTTTTTCGGATTATGAAAGAAAACGTTCAAGCAACTGTATATATTGGATTGGTGACAAATTGACTCCACACTCAAGCAACAGGCACATCGCCGTAAATATTTCATGGTAAATAGTTTCTTTGTACAATATTCTATCGCATGCTCTTCATTCTGATTATTCTACATTTCGGGCTTGCTTGACCAAATCCATTCCTATAAGGTTGTCTCAAAAGTAAAATTTCTTCTAAAGAAAGAATTAGACAGGTTCTCTTTCTCTAACATTATAAGCAAGCTTTACAAGACCACTAAAGATACACCTAAATATCAGATAAAATAATCTACCCTAAGAAATTTTCCTTCGAGAAAACTCCTACGGACCTCCAACTTGTTCATTATACAGTAGCGGCATAGTAGTGTATAGTCGAGTAGAATTCCCGCTTAATATAGTGTGCTTGCACAGAAGGTGAAATGCGGTAAAATTTGCGCGTAAACAAATAGTTGCGACTGTGACGCCGGCCAATTGCGGGCGCAAAATGCCGGCGGTACTGGCGTGGCTGCTTCTTCACGCGCAAATTTTACCGCATTTCACCTTCTGTGCAAGCACACTATATTAAGCGGAAAATCTACTCGACTGTACATAAATGCATTTGCCAATTCAGCAGAATGTCACTTTCTCAGTTTTTTGGCTTACTTATGGATATCGTCACCCTCTTTAATGATCGATACCATGTTAGATAATGACTAAGCCTCGGACATGTCCAAAAACAACTTCTAATACTCAAGTTTATCCTTATGGCATCAAAGAAAACAAGATCAACAACTAATAATCCATGGATAACAAATAATAACAGAACAATCAGAAATAAAAGGATCTGAGCCAGAAGACGAGGTGGCTCCGTCGTCGTACGTTCCTCACTGTCTCGAAGTCGCTCCTCCCTCTCTGTCTGGCGGCGTCTGGCGAGCCTCGGCATCGGGCGATCTGTAAACAAATCATATGGGAACGGAATGATACAGTAACAGTGTAGTAGTACAAGAAAGTAATAAGTGTGATTACATACCAAATATGTACAGATAATATCTTATGGATATCGTCACCCTCTTTAATGATCGATACCATGTTAGATAATGACTAAGCCTCGGACATGTCCAAAAACAACTTCTAATACTCAAGTTTATCCTTATGGCATCAAAGAAAACAAGATCAACAACTAATAATCCATGGATAACAAATAATAACAGAACAATCAGAAATAAAAGGATCTGAGCCAGAAGACGAGGTGGCTCCGTCGTCGTACGTTCCTCACTGTCTCGAAGTCGCTCCTCCCTCTCTGTCTGGCGGCGTCTGGCGAGCCTCGGCATCGGGCGATCTGTAAACAAATCATATGGGAACGGAATGATACAGTAACAGTGTAGTAGTACAAGAAAGTAATAAGTGTGATTACATACCAAATATGTACAGATAATATCTTACACCTCCCCCCTTTAACAAGAGTCCGTCCTCGGACTCAGTATCGTAACATCGGCCGCATCTGGTTGTCGAAGAAGTTGAGGTCCGTGACGACGCCAGCTTCGCGGCACCAACGGACGATGGCCGACCATGTTTCGACGTCCTGCAAAAATTTGACCGAGCCAATGATAAAAAGACCGTCCTTACCACGGGACAACGCCACGTTCAGCCTTTTTTCGTCCGAGAAAAACGTCCTCGTGGTCCTTGTTTCCATTTGTGTCCTGGTGGTACACAGAATGACTACGGATCGTTCAGATCCTTGCGCACTGTCGACCGTGCCCACTGTGACGCCGGTTGCCTGCAATGTGGACTCGCATAGGAACTTTTGGTCGCGGTATAGACAAATGACTAGAATATCATCAGCCCGCATGCCTACCGCCATGAGGTGACGGACGAGTACCAATACCGCATTTGCCTCGATGTCATTGCTGTGGGATCCCGTTACTGATTTCACCGAGTGGCTCGCTACATCGACCAAAGCCACCGGAATGCGCCCGTTAGGCATTCGAGTTCTTGAGAGAAGTCCTTGACGCTGATGCGTGGGAGTTCCACACACTAGGCGCCCGTCGTAGAATAGGTCCGAGTTTAGGTGCATCATTTCCGCGTGCGGTCTATAGACCGTACTTACCGTGCAAATTGGTACATTTCCGTTTACGTGGGCTACATCCAAAACTGAGCGGGAGCTTACCTCTACCGCTAGCGGGATAGTGTGCACTCCAATGTAAGGTGGCAGCTGCTTGCTATCACCGATGAGGGTGAAGCGCGCGTTCTGGAATCGCGACAGCATTGCCATTAGCGCAGCTTCTGGGATCATGGAAGCTTCATCTAGGAGAACGCACTTCCATGAGTTCCCAATGGTTCTCCAGAGCCCTTTTTTCGATGTAAGATTTAGCGCAGCGGCGATTGTGCACAAGTATACGTTAGGCTTGTAGATCTTCAAAAAATGCGCCGCTAAGATTTTTACCTGCTCCGATGAGTTTTCCTCTAGGATAAGTAACCTCTTGTGCTCGTTTGATAGAACCTGTCTCTCCGTCCCTGTGAAGACGAATTCCCGCATTTCTTGGCGACTTTCGGCAAACTGCTTGAACTTGCGGTACATCGTATCACTCAGAAGATGACCGTGCGTGTTGTGGAAGTTTTCCATTAGCGTGTTCAACGCATATGGCGATTCGTTGTCGGGATCTGAAGCCATTATGTCGTTTACATACCTGACTGGTCTGATTAGGTCTGATTGCAGTTGTGCGATCTTTGATCCGATCACATCAAGTGCGCTGTTTTGTACCGCAGCTACGAGAATTTTCTCGTCGTTTTCCACTGCTTCAAGGGCCATAACTGCTGTACAAAGTGATTTACCAGCGCCGTAAGCGCTATCAACGACCATGATAGGGAAATTCTTGTTGAACGTGTTCACGGCGTTAACTTGATGGCGATTGAGCTCTACTGGGTTACCTGCCACGTTCACTGAAATACTTTCTCTTTCTGGACGTTCGATCCCTTCGAGGTCTATATCGCCTGAAAGTAATGCTCGGGCTGAATTCCATCCCAAAGTTCCTGGATGGAACAAATTGGATAATGTGGAAGCTTCGAGCATTTTAAGGACTGGATTGGCCCTTTCTTCCATTGTGTTCAACGACGTAGCCACTGAAATACGTCTCGTCCTAGAATTAACCAAGTAGGTTCGGAAGCGTACTCCTGAATTAGTCTGAAGCTTTGCGGTGACCTGGAATTCGGAGGCGCCCATGTTAATGTGGACAATTTGTCCTTCTAAGAAATCTGACATGTACGCTCCTCTTACCATTCGTCCTACTGCCCAACCTGACTTCCTGCCTATTGGGATAGAAAACGTAGCTTTAATAGGGAACTCGTTCAGATCTGCTGATTCCCAGACGGTTGGATGTACTGCTGCGTCGGTAGTGGCCTTGATAGCAGCGGCAATGGCTCCACAGGCCGTGCTATAGAGGGGTTCGAGGAAGTGAATAACCTCACCGGGACTGGTGCTAAACAGCTCAAAGCGCGATAACTTGCTCTCCACCAGTTCTCGATGGTCATTGCTGTTCCTGCGGATGTCGAAAGGTACCGGTGCCGGACTACTGTGGTACGGTACTTCTGCAATGTAAGCGTAAAGTTCGTTAGCTTTTCGCGCTTCGCAACAGAAGACCATGTAGTCGAGTTGCCGTGCTCTAAATGGTGCAACTATGAACGAGTTTGCTTCCAAGCTATTGAACTCCTGTGGATTCTCCATGCGGAAATCCGTTATTGTTACCAGTCGACGGTGTCCCTGCATGCATATGCGCGCCGAGTCAGTATTAACACTCACCACAAATCCTAACGTGGGTACCAATTCACGGTGGATCAGCGCGAATCTGTCCACGCGCCAGACAGTTGCCTGTCGGATCTGGAACGCTTGTTCAATGTTCTGCGGCGCTTGTACCTTACCGGATTTGAACTTTACCGTTACTGCCAGGCTGTATACCCATATCAAATCGCCTATCATCATTTTTGAAATATCGATGCCTCTTTTACCTGTCGCGATGTTGATTGCAAAAGGGTCGATTGTGATTACGACTAAGTCCAGCCGGTTTGGCAGGGGTACTTCGAAATGTACTGACTCCAATTTCGCGCCGTTGCCAAAAAGTGACTTAATGCGGTATAAAACTGGCTGTAGCTCACCATCATATACCAGTCCATGGACACATTTCGAGAGTTCTTCTTTCGTCCCCATGTCGGCGGTCGCCATCGTTGGTAGGGGCTGTCCATTCCTACGTAATGTGACAATTTCATCGTACCTGTTTCTGTTTCGGAACGATTCGATTGCCACTGGTCCCACTGCCTCCAAAATAGTCACTTTGGAGCGCAATGACTTCGGAATACCTCCGACTGGTGATGGAAATAATCCTTCCACTAGTCCGCTGTACCCGGATGCTGGAATGCGTTCAAACTGATCTGCATTCAAATCAGTGTTGTAGTAGGGCGATTCGACCGGCGATAGTTTTCCTTCTAAAAGATCTGCAAATGGGTGACTAGTGAAATACTCAAGCTCCCTTCTGGCGTGCGCGTCTTTGCGCCTTCTGTCGGTATCTTCACGACGATGGAAAACCTTTTTGGGTTCCGACCAAGTTTCCTCCACAGCGGCTGGTGTGAGAGAAGTATTCTCAACCAACTTGGCCAGAGCGCCTTCTACCTGTGCGCTCATTTTAGACATTTTCGCAGGATGAGCATACTCTTCGCTCTCCGAATCTGAAGGCGATCGCGAGTAGCTACGATCCTTCCTGGTACGTGTTTTGGGCGCCGATCCCTTTACGGTGATGGGCTTCTTACTACAACAAGGCTCATCCTCTGATGAGGACGAATCCCCACAAATGTTTGGTATTTTTTGACTTTTTTGTTTTGCTGGTCCCTTCGAAAAGGTGACGAGCTGTACCTGAGTGTCCTGTGATTCCGTTGCCATCGGAGGTTTGGCATCAGGAGCGATCGAGGACGTTTCCCCATCCTTTGCACTCGACGACTCGGTGATCGACGTGGTCAAGGACGTCTCTACGTCCTGAGCGTCGATCTTCTCCTCCTCCAGATGCACATCACCTGGTGATGTCTCCGAAACTGCAATATACTATGTTTAGGGATTAAGATCAAATTCTTGTTGGTTATGAATTTTACATACCACAGGATTCGGGTGCTACAGTTGGTGTTGTCGGAGGTTCCTCTGACGAGGTAACGTCCATGGAAACGTTGGAAGCAAGATAGTCAGACATTATCTGGAATACGAAATTCTGAGATTTTGGCGGTTTTTAAGTAATGACGAGTTATTTTACGGCGATGAGCAGTAAAAAAATGGAGAAAATCGCGAAATTGAAAGTGAGCGAATGGAAAATGTAGAAAGAACGATGATGTTAAATCTTAGTGAAAACGAGGACTTTGAGGAGTGGAAGCGTGCGTTGGAAAACAAAGAGGAAAAAAAATGTTGGTGGTAAAAGGAAAAAACGAATCAAAATCGTTGTCGTCGGGTTTGTGGAAGACCTGAAACAGTGCTTTTTCCTGAAATAATGTTTGCAACTTTTCTATCATTTCGTACAGTTATATCTCATGTATTTCTCCTAGAGCGTAAATTGTATCCGTGAGATTCTACTTCTTCGACTGGCGTAATTTCTGTGAGAGTTGTGGGTGGGTGGTCATAACCTATAATTTCTTCCTCAGGACTTTCTTTTATGCAGTTTTCCTCTTCTGGTATCACTGGAAGCGTGGATGCTGGGCCCGTGTAATCCACTACTTTTTTGATTTGGTTTAGGTGTACCCTACGAGGTTTTGATTGCGGCGCAGTGATACTAACAATTACTGCATGAGGATGTTCCAATTTTACCACCCTAAATTGACCGATCCAGGGGAAACACAATTTTCTGGCCAACCCTTGCTTGTTGGTGTAGTTACGGAATAAAACGCGATCTCCTTCTTTGATTTCCGTTGGTCTAGCGGTCTTATCGTACTGATCTTTCATTTTTTGCTTATAAGAACGCGCATGTTCTGCTGCGTTAGACCAAGCCAAATGTAATGCGGAAATAAGCTGCGCTTTATACTCAGAAGTTTCGTCAAAGTTAGGCATTTTTACGCGCGTTGTGGCATCAAAATCCTATCTACTGTGAAAATTGGATCCCTACCAAACATTAAAAAGAAAGGTGACTCACCTGTCGCTTCGTTGATGGTGGTATTGTAGCAGAATGTGACACAGGGTACGAATAGGTCCCAGTCCTCTTGCTTTTCGTTGATGAATTTTGACAGCATGACCTGAAATGTTCCAAATGTTCTTTCTGTTGCGCCATTACCCATAGAATGATACGGTGTAGCTAGTTTTTGTTGTATATTGAGGAGATTGCAAAATTCTTGGTAGAAATGCGAGGTAAAACTAGAAGCTTGGTCAGAGATCAATTCAGTCATTGTTCCATATTTCAAAACACATTCTGTGAAAAGTGCATGAGCGATAGTAACTGCTTTTGCATCAGGTAAAGGCGTAGAAATCACGTACCTGGTAAACCAACAGACGATATTCAAAATGTACTTGTTACCTCGATCTGTAGTTTTGAGAGGTCCACATAAGTCGAGTCCAACTTTGGCGAAAACGGCTTCGCTGTGAACTGGAATAAGTTGTTCTTTATATGCTGGTTTAGGTTTTCTGCGCATTTGACATGTGAGACAGCTTTCGCACCATTTTTGTATATCACTATAGATTGTAAACCAATAATATTTGCGCAAAATTTTGGCTAACGTTTTTCGCCAACTGACGTGACCTCCAGAAAGTGCGCTAGAATGGTGAGCTTCAAACAGCAAATGTCGTAATGATTGAGGTACCAATAAAAGTAGTTTTACCGTGTCTTTTCGTTCAAACTGGTAATATAAGCAACCGTCAGATTTTATAACTGTTTTGTTTGCCGTCTCTGATACTTCTTTTTTTGTTTGCTCGTCAGTAGAGGGCTCTAGATTTTCAGCGGTTTTTAGCTGGAAAACTAAACTTAGAAAATTGTCAGATTTTTGTTCATCTGCGAAGTTGATAGCGTGTTCTAGACCTTTGACGAATGTTTTTCTGGGAAATGGTGAGGATTTGGGTTTTACACCTGTAGCCAAGCAGAATGTTTGTAATCTAACAGGAAATTCAATGATATCTTGCAGTTCGTCCCTAACTTCTGGAATTTCGCTTTTATCCTCGAAAATGCGCGACAATGCGTCGGCTACCGTATTCTTTTCGCCTTTTACGTGTACAACTTTGATGTTGTAACTCTGCAGCTCAATTATCCACCGCGCAAGGTTATCATGCGTTTTGCTTTTATTCAGTAGAAATGTTAGCGGCTTGTGATCACTATGCAAGACTACTTCAGACATACAGATATAGGGTTTGAATTGGCGTAACGCATATATAATCGCACCTAGTTCTACTTGTACCGCGGGCCAGCGACGCTCACTATCGCTCAAAGTGCGGCTACAGTACGCTATGGCATAATATTTACTTGGCCCCGTTTCGTGTTCCTGCATTAGAGCACCCGCTTGAGCTACCAGACTAGCATCCGTAAAGATGTGGAACGGTTTATTGTAGTTTGGGTACCCAAGAATAGGCTTTTGTAATAACGCATCTCTAAGTTCTACGAAGGCGGCTTCCTGCTTATCAGTCCACTGAAATTTATTGTCCTTACGCGTTAGCCAAGTAAGCGGCTCAGCGATATTTGCGAAATTTGGGATAAATTTCCGAAAGAATCCTACCATGCCCACAAAACGCTTAACTTCTTTGACATTGCGCGGGGTGGGAAATTCTCTTATGGATCGGGTATTCGCCTCCGCGGGAGAATAGCTATGCATATTGACCGTATGCCCCAGGAACGTAATTTGATGTTTAGCGAAGACACATTTTTTGGGCGACGCTTTTAGGTGGAATTCGCGCAGGCGTGTTAATACTTTTTGGATAGCGCTGAGATGGGATGGGAAATCTTTACTATAGATGAGAATGTCATCAATATATGTAAGCACATTATCCTCTAGGCCCCCTAACACGCGGGTCATTATGCGCGCAAAATAACTGCTGGCAGACTTAAGGCCAAATGGTAAGTGTGTCATTTGATACACGCGGTTCTCAGTTATTACGCCGCATTTATAACTACTTTCGTCATCTAGTGGCAGTTGTAGGTAGCCACTAGCGAGATCTAGAGTGGTGTAATACTTATTTCCACCAATTTTCTCTAGCACATCGTCGATGCGGGGGATTGGGTACGGATCAGGGAGTGTTAAGTTACTTCATTAATTGGGCGGCGCATGTCTAAACATACGCGCAGGGAATTATCCTTTTTACGTACTACCACTAAATTATGCACCCACGGAGTATGTGACTCTTTCATTACCCCACACTTCAAAAGCATATTTACATGTTTCTGCAGTTCTTCGCGGTATTTTACTGGGACACGATATGGGCGAATGCGCGCTGGTGGATCATTATTGGTGTAAATGTGCACCTTACCAGCTGTACAGCTACCTATGTCATACTGATGTCTTGAAAATACATCGGCGAATTCTATAAGCAAATTTGCCAACTGCTCGCGTTCTACATCGCTTAGATCGCTGTTATCAAGGTCTACGCGATAACTAGGGTCGTCGTTAGTTAATTCGCTTACACAAGAGATCGCGGGCATTGGCGTATCATGTAATTCACTTACAGTAAGACCCTCTTGGACAACTTCGGAAGCGTTAGCTAAACGCATTCCCGCGTATAGAGTAACCGGTTGGTTTGTGGGATTTGTCACCAAGATATATGGTGTTTTAGAATCGATTATGGATGGAGCTACTATGAGGTCCTTGTCTTTTAGTTTTGCGCTTTGCGATACCAATACAAAATCATTTCCTAAGTTTGTGGGCGGGGCCGTACATGCTACAAAAGTTTCTGTATTGGGCTGAATGCATACTGTATCCTTGACTCTTATTGGGTATTCCAAATCAACATCATTGTTCTTTGTGAAGGGTGCTCCCAGTGGTAATACCGTACTGCCAAAAGATACTTGTTTGCTTTGATAGTCAATAGTCATGGGTGGTAATTGCGAAAGGACATCGTGCCCCAAAATTACTTCGTAGTTGGAGTCTACATTGGGTACGCAATGGCCCTTAGTAAAATGCAAAATTGAGTAAATTTGGGTGTCACCTATCTCAAATTTAGCCCTTTTTGAGCCCGCCATTGGTATAGGTGTTCCCGCCATACCTAAAGCTGCTCTTGTTTGAGCCTTATCGAGGTGGAATATTCCCAACGCTGCGCATAACCCATCAGATGCTAACGTTATTGTGGACCCCGTGTCAACTAGCGCTGATACATTAATGTCATTGATTTTGATTCTTATGTGCGCAGATGTGACTGGGTGTACAAGGGATACATGGCAGACTTTAGGAAAGTCGTAAACTTTAGTTGCCGCTAGTTGGAATACTCCAGAAGAATTATTTGAATTGTTTGGGGCGGGAATACTTTGATTCCCTGAGTTATGGTTACGCAGATATTGTAGGAAATTTACTGGTGTTTGAATGGAGAGGTATAACATGAGAGCGCGTGAAAGGGCCTGCAGGGTAATGATAGCACAACATATTGTGACCCATGGTTGATAAATGTATGACACTACGTAACTGAGTAAAGAATATGTCGGTACGTTGGCTACGGTAGCTGCCAGGGATGTGTGCAACTGGTGGACATTAGAGCTATCTAAGTGCGCATTTAAAGTCGCTTCATTAGCCTCAAGGGTTGCCCAAAGCTCACTAAATTGTTGCTCGGGGACGAACTCACTTAGATTAGTAATAACTAAATTGTGAAATAGGGTCAAAGCTGGCTTCACAGAATTAGGTGAATAATCACTAGAAAGTTGCAGAGTTGTGATTTCAGAGGAAGGTATAGATTCAAAGATATATGTGGATGGATAAAATTTTAGAATGGAATTGTTGCAAGGGATTTCGAATGATAAATGTTCGGAGCAAGGAATAGAATCTGCATTATTGGTCAAAACTCCCGTTACGGGATCGATGAATGTTTTCCATTGAGATTTATTAGGTAAGTTAACAATGACAGAGGGGCGTGAGAAGCAAGAAGAGTTAAATTTTACTAAAGAATATAACGACGGAGGAATTAGTGTGCAGGCTTGCGTACCAATAATGTTTTCGCCTATAAAGTTCGCTTTGATATCGGAACGCTGTAAAATATTGCGCATGGCTATAGTGGGATTAGCCGAGATAGCGGCTGTCAAGGACATGCTCAGAGAATTCATGGATTTGCACAATGAAAGAATCGAATGATGCAGAGAAGTGCTTAAAGAATTATGCATAGTATCTTCTACGGCTAAGAGCTGAGCGGCTAATTGATTAGTAGTAGCAACGCCAACCTGTTGCAAAAAGGTTGGCTGTGATTGTCTTTTTGGACGAGAGGGAGAGTTATAAAATTGGACGGCATAGCCCTGATCAGTGAGAGTGAGAGTGTGAGAACAATCAAGGAAATGAGATTCAAGAGAAGGGAATGAGAGCGCAAATTCTTTACTATCGCTTAACCAGACTTTGTCTACCAAAGTACCCTTCATGGGGGCAACTAAAATATACTTACATTTTTCCTCTGATTCTGGTGTCCAAATCACGGCCGCTCCATCCTTGGTTGTGCATGATCCGTCTTCGTAGCGGCATCCCTGTAGTGGCCCAATCGTGCTGTCTAGTGTTGGGGAATCGTGATATCCATATACTGTAGCCTGGAATACAACACAATTCGAAACGGTGGTAGTATAATCCGAACAGCAATGAAAAGGAGCGGAAGGCCATACAATTTCAAGTTTATTTGAAGTTTTCCAAACAGTGCCTACTGCCGAAAGTTCACCATGAGCACACGCTTTGTGACTAATCATGTGTCGACACACCCCTTCTGAGACTGTCTGCTCTTTCGTTACAGTATTTTGTGAGCGAGCACCAAAGAAGTTTACCGAATAAATGACAGTCTGAGTAATTATTCTACAAACATTTGCCACACTTTTATATCTAATGGTGTTGGGTCTGAAAACTTTGATTTTCATTGGATGGGCTGTTGCAGACCAACTAGGCAATAATTTAGTACAATTTATTTCGGATGGTATTTTCCAGTAAGTAACGGGTGACTTATGAGAGCATAGATACGCAGGAGGCAATTCAAAAGCAGAGGCTTGAGCTGCCAACGCAAGCACCACTAGCATAGTATACGGAAGTTTAGAAGAATTGGACGATGAGGAAAATGTGCGTCGAGATGTCTCTTCGCTATTGCTATGAGTGTTTTGTTCACGGGTTGCATACGCAATGTCTGCTAACGCGTTGTTTCTGGCGATTAGCGCCGCAATATGAGCATCTTTTTCCTCGAACAGAGATTGGTTACACGGATTAGTGGTATCTGGCGCTGGGGTCTGCTCAACTGCTAGCACATTAGACCTGTCATAAGTATCTGGATGTTGTTGAGATATCGGATTACGTTGCGCAATAGGTCTAGAGTGATCTATGCGTTCTCTTGGATTCTGTCTATAATTTGAATTTGGTTGGGGGTTATTCCTGATGGGGAACTGACGCCTATTGTTAAAGTTATTACGTGGGGGAGGCATGCTAGTACGACATACATTAGCAAAATGACCGTTTCTACCGCACTTATAGCATGTTACGTTAGAATTTTGAGGACGTACCCCAGCGGATCTATTGAATCCATTTGAAAACTGCCTTACCTCTCTTGGTCTGAAGTTGTCGGCCATTGGTGGATCCATTCTTTCTTGAATGGTTTCCGGTGTCGTTCTTCTCGTCAGGTCGGCCTTCGGGACGAATATGTGCAGCTCTGGATGGTAGACCAAGTTGTTGTCGGATGCTTCCTTGTGGAGCGCTTCATAATCCGCCGCTTTCTCCAGGGCATCCTCAAAAGTTTTACATTTATGTGGTCGAACAAAAAATTTCAAGTCTAATCTTAGGCGATCCACAAACTCTTCCAGAAGTTTTTGTTGAATTTTAGTTTGAGGTTCGTGGCGCATGAAGTTATACACGGCCTTTTTTATGCGCTTACTGTAAGAATAGACATCTTCCCCTACGTTTTGCCTACAATTAGCTAATTCGCGTTTGGCAGCATCCTGAAACTGTGGTTTCTCAAAATGCGAGCGAAGAAATGAAATGATTTTGTCATAGTTATTCCTATCTTCAGGTTGCATTTCATCTATAACATCGCGCGCCTCACCTCTTAGAGTTGCATACAGCGTATTTACTTTACCTTGCTCGGGAAGTGGGACTACGGAAGTGCGTATGATGTCTTCAAACTGACGATGCCATTCGTTAAAGTCTTGGAAATTTTCCCCAGAAAAATAATCTATGTGTTTAGGTGCGAGCTTCCCGAGGGTAAGGCCGCTATAAGCTTGAGATAAGGCATTAACCTCGGTTGAGGACATGCCTCCACCGAGTAGAACAGGATCAACTGGACTTACGGTTTCCGGTGGTGAAGATCGCGATGAGTCGGAGTTGTCCTGGGTAGTCGTCTTTGAACGAGTCGTAATGCGAGCAATGTTGTCCAGAATGGGAGAAGGCGTCGCTTCTCCAAAGGTCCTCAGCGGTGTAGTCGAAGTACTCGACTGTGGAGTGGGTGCCGGTCTGCCTAAGTCGGCATATTATATACCCTACTCGATGGCATGTGCTCTTTGTGCGCGCCGCATCTTTGTTTCTGCCGTTGGCAACATGTGCTTGATGAAAGCCAAGATAAGAAAGCACTTTGTGAAAGTTTGCTCGAATAAAGAAACAAAGATGCTATCGCGCCTGAGAAGCACCAATGTTTACAATTGCGAGTATGAAAGGAATTTCGAACTTCAAAAGAAAGACCGTGCGTATGCTAGCGAGCTTTGTTTATTGCAAAGAAAGGGCTGTGAGTTTGCGAAAGTTAGCACAAGGAAACGAGCTAGCATGAGTGACAAGAGGCTCGAGCATAAGAAAGGAAACTTTGCACAAAGAAGCATTTTGCGATTGCGATTCAAATTTCTGGGCGACTTGCTCGAAAAAGAAATGATAGGTTTTAGCATAAGATTTAGCGATAGAGAATTTGCTATTTTCGAGGAACGGATGGATCGAGATAGAGAATCGAGGTTCTGGAATATATGAAAAATTCTAGAGCAAACACTATCACAACAGAGCACCTACATGGAAGACTGCAAAAGAAGGGGATTTTGGAGAAGGTTGTTACAGAAAGAAGCTTGTTCGTAGAATTAGTTTTATGTGATCAGAGATAACCAAAATAGACTGAGTATGAGAGCAAAAAGTGATGTGAGTAGAATAATCGCATACGCTCAGATTGCAACGAAACAAAGGCGAGCCAACAATACGGTGATTTGTAGAAGAAAACGAACAAATATACGAAAAATACTCACCTAGTCCGGTGGATCCATGTGGAGGATAGAAATAGCCGAATGAAGAGATGATCGATATTCGATGATGATTTGCCACGCCGTTGGTCATGTATCGACAAGTTCACTCATACCGTTTCTGCCAGCTGGTTAATGTGTCTCTACCTGTCGATCCTCGGCGGCGCCGGCTCAATTAGCTCAGAAAGGTGCCTGTTGATAAGCGGCGGATGGCGCAAGGCGATCGAGTCTGTCTCTCGCTAGTCCAAGTGAGGGTTCAAATCCCCTCCCGGGCCAAAGCTTTGCAATCGTTCCAGCATACTACTGCTTGTATTTCCAAGCTTACCCTCCATCAAAAACCTTCTTGCAAAGTGGGATGCGCCGACATCCGTCGCTTATAGGGGGGTTCTCTTGGCCCTCCTGCCTCTCGGAAACGGGGGGTGGGGGGGCCCATCATAGTTATAAAAAGACGGCGGTTTTGGAGGATAGATAAGTGATGCTACGTGCCTCCTATCAGAGCGTAATGTACGAAAAAGGATCACTGTAATTGCATATTCTTTTGTAGTTTCACTGTTCATGCAAAATTATACTTTTCTCTTATATTTTGTATCATTTAAAATGCTTTTTCTGTCCTGGTCCCAAATAGGTGACGAGGGAGTGAGTGAGGAACTTAAATCAACTGTATCTTTTGTTTCTTATCCAAAATCAACGAACTATCCCACCGAAAATAAAATCACACAAATCAATAAAAACAGGTAATTTGAAGAGAAAATTGAGAGAGATTATGAGCCTAGGAAGTGGCCATCTTCTAGACTCCACGCTACTGAATTTTCCAGTCAAAGTTACCCCCGGTCGAGGCTAAAACCGGTCAACTCATGGGCTATTCCCATGAGGATTTTTTTTTTAGAAGAGGAAGATCGGTGGAATCGCGGGCTACTATGAGGCCGCACTCGCTGCTACCACTTATGGATATCGTCACCCTCTTTAATGATCGATACCATGTTAGATAATGACTAAGCCTCGGACATGTCCAAAAACAACTTCTAATACTCAAGTTTATCCTTATGGCATCAAAGAAAACAAGATCAACAACTAATAATCCATGGATAACAAATAATAACAGAACAATCAGAAATAAAAGGATCTGAGCCAGAAGACGAGGTGGCTCCGTCGTCGTACGTTCCTCACTGTCTCGAAGTCGCTCCTCCCTCTCTGTCTGGCGGCGTCTGGCGAGCCTCGGCATCGGGCGATCTGTAAACAAATCATATGGGAACGGAATGATACAGTAACAGTGTAGTAGTACAAGAAAGTAATAAGTGTGATTACATACCAAATATGTACAGATAATATCTTACAGCTTGCAGTAAACAATCACATATGTGGGAGGAGCTAGGGGCGCAGTTTGCCAGTTTTAGACTATCTTTCACTTGTATCACCTGTATCGGCGTTGATCGTCGCTCGATACGAGAGGGGATCCACTGACGCCTCCATTCGTCCCCGTCGCGAGCGATCGTTGACCAATGTCTTCTCATTGCACCAGGTACACGAGAAACGCTCTGAAGGACTGCTTTAAAGGGCTTCGTGAATATGTCCGACCTCCGCTTTGCCGTCCAGCGGTGTCCAATCTGTTACAGCTCTGGTCCACCGACTGAAGTCAAAACGCATCACGTGTCCGACCCATATGATTTTATTCTGTTTGGCGTATGCGGCTGCATCCCTGTTTTTCAATCGTTGACGTAGGGTGGAGCTTCGTATTCCTTTCCTCACCTGCGCGAGTCGGGACACTCCTAACATCGCTCTTTCAACAGCGCGTTCGATGACGCTCACCGCAAGTTCGCCCTGCTTCCTCATGGTCCACGTTTCTGAAGCGTACGTCAAAACAGACAGAACCGTCATCTTAAAGAGATGGGCGCGGAGCCAAGTGTTCTTGGTCTTCTTCGCTACGTTCTCAACTCCCTTGTATGCTCCCAATGCTGCTCGTTTTCTCCTGCTCAGTTTCGGGCTAGATCGTTCATCATGTTGACTTCTCGACTTAGGTAGACGTAGCTAGAGCATTCGGCGATCGTCGTTCCATTCAGCATGAAAGGAGCATCAGGAACCCATCCGCTTCTCATAACATCGTCTTCGTCAGATTTAGCTGCAGACCGATCTTTCCTCACACATCATCAGACTAGGCCAGCATTCGTTCCGCTTGCGTGATGGACGGTGTAATTAGGACTATGTCATCAGCGAAGCGAAGGTGGTGTAGTTGCCGACCGACCGCCGAATTTCACACCCATGTCATCCCACTCTCCACAGTGTCCGCATGTTTTCGAGAGCAGCGCTGAAAAGTTTCGACGATGTGGCATCGCCTTGTCGTACCCCTCTCTTCACGTCGATGGTGATTTCCTTGTAGAATGGTATGATCTTGGTTGTGAAGTTATTCTTGATTTATATGCGCAAAAGATTCAGCAGGTGTATCTATGAGTACTATTAGTATCTACTGTCTAACGACCAAAGTGGAGCTTCAAAGGATCTTTTTCGGCGAAAGTCCGATTTTAACGTGATAAACTCTTTTTCAGTGCTGCAAACTCTACATGATTCAAAATGTGGATCTCTGGTGAAATTCTGTAAAGCTTGCTTTGCTCTATAAAACAGTGCCAAGTCTGCTAAAAAAACAAAAGCAGTTGAATTCGTTCAAAAGAAAGGGGTTTACTTTACAGCCTTTCACTTGAATTCTAGCATTAGAGTAAAGCTTTTCTTCACTAACTCCATATGCACGTCCTGACCAGCATCATGCATACGTACGCATGCACGCCAGTATTTGATATGTGAACAAAAGGTTCCAAGAACTTCTGTGCAGTAATAATAAAGATGGCCTGATTGTCATATAGGATAAAGAGCATCGCGGTAGCTGTTCCAGTTTAACTCTCAAATCTAAATAATCGACCATTTTCAATGTGGTAAGACGTGCTACTTAAGTTTTTTTTTGGGAAGGCAGGCGAAAGTATAGCTGTTCTGGAAGCACTCAAGGATGAACTCATTCGAAAACAATATTATAACGTTTTTTTTTTCAGAGGGAGATTCCTCGAAATCCTGGATTTGGAGAAAAAGTGATGCAAAAATATATGTCTTATTCCTGGTAAGACTGTAAGATACATGTAATTATGAAAAAAATAACTTCGCACATCTTATGTGTTTAAGCGTCGAAGGACTCCCACGTGATGAGTTTGTGCATACAATTTCTTTTAGGTTCAAGGCGTGGCGCGTGCATACACTATACATATCGTATGCATCGCCGCGCGTGGAACTTTAAAAAATTTGGAAATTTTCCGAGAAGAACAATGTCAACGTTTGAATCTGGTAGTCTGTATTTTGCCTAATCTGGCTAGTGAACTGCTAGCACATTCGCACCGTCATAGTCTATTGTCACGTTTGCGAGCGAACAACTGCGACATTTCGTGCCGGGACCACATACGTTCCTCGGATCTGTCTGGGAGAGCAGCGTTGTCAAAATATATAGCCATTTTTTCCTTCGCGCAAATTTCCGTATCCTTTCATTTTCTGCTTTTCTCCCATCATAATTGTTATTCCGCCGTCATCCGCTGTGATTGAAATAGTGCAATCACACAAAACGACTGGTCTAATGGAATGGCTACAATTCGATTTGAGTATTTGTGGCGCTCCGAGAAATTTTTGAGAGGGCTAAGGGAGAGGGGGAGGCGGAGGGACGCGACAGAGTTTTTTCGGATCAGGGTATTATCGAAAACTTCTTTAGAATGCTTTCCAACCCTTCGCGTGCTAAATCCGGATTTTTCTAAAATAAAAAACTGGAAGAGTAATTTGATCATCTACAGGTAGAAAAAAATCACCTGCACATTTTTACAACCTACGTAGGCCATTTTTCAAAACTGTTAAGTGTAAATCACGAAAAATGTAAGAATATTTATGATAATTACGAAAAGCATACAATAAATTAGTTGGCAGCAGCTGCAGCCGCGCGTGCGCGAGCCGCACGTTTTCGATCACGAGCCGCACGTGCGCGTGCCTTTCGTAGAAGACGGCGACCGAATGCCCGCTTGACTTTACGTGCGCGACGCGAGTGACGTGCTCGCTTGGCGGCTGCGCGGCGTTGATTTCTGCGATGACGACGAGCATGGGCTCTACGGCGTTGTAACTGTAAAATGGGACCATAAGTATTTGAGATAAAATAATGCTGTATCAAAACCATTACCCTTCTTCTGTTTATACGTCTACGAGCAGCTAAGCGGGCTCGTCTAGCTCCTCGTTTCACTCGGATTGCAGGGATTTCTACTTCAGTATCTTCGGTTTCTTGCAAATCTGCTTTGTCGAGTGCTGTTGCGATGTCATCATTGCTCTCCTCCAATGCAGTGATCTCACCCTCTTCCTTCTCTTGTACCTTGAAATTAACACGTGTATATAATAGGTAAAAAGTCAATATTGTGCCAGTTCGGTGCTGACAACATTTGCGCGGGAAAAATCGGGGTATGCGAACGCAGAAGCTTGCAAATTTCGCGTCCAAAAACACCTCCGGTGTTCTCATCGACAAAATGTGAGGGTTGAGACCCTGGTGAGTGCGGGTCCTGATGCGAAAAGCGCGCGGCGCAGGTGCGGACATGGCGTGGGTGTTTATTTTGCACGTAATGTCACCTAATGTGGTCTTCAAAAATCTATCATGAATAACGACAAGTCTTGACAGGTAAAAATGGCCACAGGGTGCATCCTTTCAAGTTCTGCGCTTCGTGGCCATTTTTTACGCCTAAATGTTGTTGGCACCGCAGCGGCACTATATTTCACAAAAAAGTAGCCAAACTCAACATAGCGTATGCTTACCTGTTCAGCATTGACGGCGATGACTAGCAGACCCACACATGCTAGAAATATGAGTCTCATCTTTCGATGCTATATTGTAGCGCCGAAAAAACGCTTATATACAAGCGACGACGAGAATCGGCGCATGCCGAACGGGAAAACTCCGAATCGGATCAGCTCGCAAACTCGGTGTTCGTTGTTATCGTGTAGTGTTGCAGATAGATCTACACATTTGAGTTTGCCGGAAAAAATTCTTGAAACAAGGTGTTAGGGCTTGGAAAATCTCAAAGGAGACTCTGCGACGTTATCCTAGACATTCCTATGAAGTTGCTGATCACTCTACGAATCATTGCTGTCAACTGTCTTGTCAGTCTAGACACGGTTGGTTTTGTTTTGTTTTTATTGGGTACATTACGAAAATAACATTTCGACAGTTCCCTTCTCGTGAAAGAGAAATAATAAGCAGATAAAAGGAAGAAGCTTTGGAGTTCCCGTTAGAAGTTCCCTAGAAAATCAGCGAACAAATACGCCGTATATCAACGTGCAATGATCAGATGCGGCTCTAAATTTGAAAAAAAAAAGACATCCATCTTATTATCAACATGTTTCCTTAGAATGGAAATCGACCATAGACGTCTCCCAAATTAATAGCCCCATCTGTAAAATTGCTGTTGATGCACCGTCCAGTCATTTGTAATTTGAAATCTGTATTGCACATCATGTGCGCTACTTGTCGACTTTTGATTAACCGCTCGTTTTCGGCAATTTCTTTTCCTCCCTTGTCTTTTGAGATTTGGGTGAATACGTACTCGTTGGTGGTACAGACTTCTACAATTTTTTACGCTCGAAAATATTAGGTTGAACTGAAAGTTCTGTCGCACCATTTTTAAAAAGCCGTAACTTCTTCCTGTCACTATAATTTTCCATTACAAAAATACTCTTAGGAAGAATAGCTCGTGTTCTTTCTAATGACACCTTGCTATCTCTCTCCCATACTTTGATTGCATAGATAAAATTGTGAAAATGAAATTAACTTATTTTCAGAATTTTGAGGCAGGCCCGTTAAAAGTTCCAAAACTGCGCCATGAAATCTAAAACAGCCAGTATCCTAGATTTTTTGACCCTCGTTTTAGGTGAGCAAAATTCGCGCTGATCGAGCTTTTCTTTGAAAAATTATGATTTTTGACAAAAAATGCCAAAAATCGGTTTCTTAAGAAAATTAATTTTTTGCATTTTCCAAAAATCATAAATTTTCAAAAAACAGCTCGATCAGCTTGAATTTTGCTCCCTAAAAAGAGGATGTCAATCTAGGATGCTGGCTGTTTTGGATTTTATGGCGCACTTTTGGACTTTTTGACGGATTTTCCTCAAAATTTCGAACCTAAAGTTATCTCCTTTTCCCGCTTTTATCTCTGCAGTCAGAGCCCAGGGAGAGCAGGCAAGGTGTCTTTAGAATATAAATGAGCTACTCTTCCTAGCACTATTTTTGCCATGCAAGACTATCGTGACAGGAAAAAGTTACGATTTTTTGAAAATGGTGCAAGAGAAGTTTTGGTTCAACCTAATATTTTACTGAATAGTTACTAGCGAGAGCGTCGTCGGTTGCCGCCCATAGTAGATCCATATATCAAGCTGGAAATGATATTGAAATCATATATACTCAACAACTAGTGAACAGTAATTTAAAGGTGCTAGATTGCAAGAGCGTTCGCTTCGGGACCCGCCGCGGTTTCCCGCTACTGCAAGATTTTTGGATTGTGCTAACGACCAGAGGTGCGATAGTGGGATCCGATTCTCCCCCTACCTTCACTTTTGAGCTGGTACAGGGTGACCTCCTTCACTTTTGAAATAAAAAATTTTTTGCTGGACGATAAAGAAGGAAAATAAGCAAAACAAACGCAAAAAAGATTATGAAAGCATATATCTATGTATACTGCGGCATATATACTTAAAATAAACGTGCTCAGTAAATGGTGTATTTGGAAGTAAAACTTAGCGAAACTGTACGGATTTTATTGATTAAATTCTGTCATAACATACTGCCAAGGAAGTAGGTCGATCTAGGCAGTAACGGCCGAGAACCAGAATTTTGAATATTTAAATAGTGAAAAATCATGCGAAATTTCCACTGTTATAAATCTGTTGTCTGAAGATGTCAACAGTTGCGACTTCATACGTTTTAAAGAGTAAATGGTGCTCTTTCAGCCAGTGAAAGAATCGAGTGGATTTGAGGGATAGTCGTTGAAAACCAGAATTTTAGAAATTATTTTTGCCTGTTTTTTGACGGTTGACAGTTAAACTCATACAAATCTTGAATGTGAAAGCGTGATGTTGCGACTTCATAGGTTTTATAGAGTAAGGTTTGCCTTACCAGGATATATCTTAGCCATTCCGATCCATTGAAACACTTCCGAAATCCAGAGTTTTGAAAAAGCAGGTAAAAAAAACGCTTTTTGAATTTCAACAGCTCATAACTTCTTCAGAACTGAATGAATTATGTTGCGACTTCATAGGTTAGATTCTTCTCATCAAGAGCTTTCAGAAAATATATAATATGTGGGGTTTTAGAGCCTCCTACGAATTATGCCCGTGGGGGGAGCCTTTTCACACCAAAGTCTCCCCCTAGCCCACTTTAATGTATTGGACGGGGGAGACTTTGGTATGAAAAGGCTCCCCCCACGGGCATAATTCGTAGGAGGCTTTAAACCCCGACATATTATATACCATCTGAAAGCTCTCGATGAGAAGAATCTAACCTATGAAGTCGCAACATAATTCATTCAGTTCTGAAGAAGTTATGAGCTGTTGAAATTCAAAAAGCGTTTTTTTTTACCTGCTTTTTCAAAACTCTGGATTTCGGAAGTGTTTCAATGGATCGGAACGGCTAAGATATATCCTGGTAGGGGAAACCTTACTCTATAAAACCTATGAAGTCGCAACATCACACACTTTCACATTCAAATTTATATGAGTTTAACTGTCAACTGTCAAAAAACAGGCAAAAATGACGTAAATTTTTAAAATTCTGGTTTTCAACGACTATCTCTCAAATCGACTCGATTCCTTCACTATCTGATAGAGCACCATTTACTCTTTAAAACCTATGAAGTCGAAACTGCTGACATATTCAAACAACAGATTTATAACAGTGGAAATTTCGCATGATTTTTCACCATTTAGATATTCAAAATTCTGGTTCTCGGCCGTTATTGCCTAGATCGTCCTACTTCCTTCGCAGTATGTTATGACAATATTTACTTAATAAAATCCGTACAGTCCAACAAACTTTTACTTCCAAATACACTATTTTATAGGCACGTTTATTTTAGATATTTATGACGCTGTATACATAAAATATGCTTGCAGTGATCCCTTTTGCATTTGTTTTGCTTATTTTCCGCGCACTGGCGGCAACGACCTGGAAGGATAGAGTTAATGCTTCCCCCCACGGCCGACGTTTTTGGGAGGTGAGTGTTCGGCGAGTGTTCGGCACTACCACCTTCACTTTTTGCCGGCTAGTGGTAGCTGGGACCACCTTCACTTTTGGTGGGCCCGGCTCCCCCCATCGCACCTCTGCTAACGACTCTTTATATATTAGATATTCACTTGTTAGTTATATGGGGTTTATGCGGATCTCAAAGCCAGAGCTCAAACGTTCAAGTTTCTAGAAAATTCCGGTAAAGAATTTTTTTATCAAGTTCTAGAGATGAAATGGATAAGCCTTTGTTTTCAACTTCTCACTCATTACGTTACATTTGCCAAGACAAAAGAAGAAAAATCACCTAAACTATCAGTTTCATTTGCATATTTTAGGAGGTTTCAATCGACACAGGTCGTACTTGGCCACAGTTGTTGCGGGTTCCATCAAATACTCCGGTTTTGCGCGACTCACCAAATACTCAGCTTGGTAATGTTAGTCAACTATGTCGTGTTAGTAAATCTTTCAGCGAACATTATCATATTCAAGGATCATAATGACCACTTACCAGTAGACTTGGTAACAAGAACTGAGCGGAGGAAGCAAATTATCGAAAGATCTTGGCAGGTTGTTGCGCATCCGTCTACAGTCTAATCAATTCTCGTGATTATGTGCGATTGCACACAATGTACACATCGCGCATGCAAGCCCAAGTCCTAAGTGCTGGCCCTTCCTGCGCCATGCCGGAATGCTTCCACCAGGTCTCAGTCACAGCGCTGGCACGGCGACGGAGCGGCATTGGAACGGCAGTGGAACAACGCTGGCACAGGGCGGCGCAACGGCACACAGCAATTACGCTGCCTGAATTCCGTTGTCTATTCTGTACTTGCGGAAATCTGATGAGTGTTTTTTTCAGACGGAAGCTGAGAAAAAGACGCCGACAAAGCACTTACAGAAAAATAATGCGTTCTTTTTCTAAAAAAAGGTCGATTAAGATGCGCAAACTGTGCAGTGTGTGCAGTCGCACTATTAGGAGCTAAAAATCTTAGCGGTCACTACTGGATATAGTCAGAACCGAATGTTTTTCAAACATTCGTATTCAAATAATTTCTTCGAAACAGAAAAGTTGAATATTCACAAAAGTGCATTTATTTGATCATTCGAATAGTCGAGCAAATAAAAAGACTTTTATCTGGATATTTGTTCATTGGAGAATATTTGTTATTTCGATTTGTCGAGTGAATAAATAATCGATTAAAGGACATTTTAAGTTCGAGTAACTCATTCTAATACGAATATCCGAAAAATATTCGGTTCTAAGTACACTACTGGACGAAGGCGCAAAAGCAGTATTGATTGAGTGGGCGCGAACGCGGAGCGCGCATATTTTCACCATTGTCCTGCGTCTCATGCACTCTAGGCCTAATAAGGCCGCGTTTGCGCTCCTAGATTTTACGCCATCGTCCGGCAGACTCTATTTTTCAATTTTTTTCAATTACAGTTCCATCGAAAGCAAAAACTTCATTCCGGCCAGATAGTTCGACGTGCTTCGTCTTACGCTGCTCCATTGATTGAACAGGATGGAGTTTTATTATTCAAAGAGTACGATGACGACGATCGTTGGCAACCATTTCGAGTCAGCATGGTCAGCGGAGATGTGCGCGCAACTCGAGACGCTGCGTATCCGGGTATGGACGTAGAGAACGGAATTGTTGAAGATGACCAATATATTCTGGTCCGATCGCTTCAACGCACCACCATGTCTACACCCATAGTACCGTTTACCGAAATTGCTGAAGTTGAGAGCGATATCTACGGAAGGAAGCGGAGAAGGTCAAGCCGCGTGTTTAACTAATCTACGTTCTTCTTTGAAGTAGTGTGATTAGTAACTTATTCTTCTCTCACCGCTCATGTCATAACGCTTTTTGTTATTTATTGTAATCTGTTTCAAGTTTGAATAAACTTTGCCATATTGAGTTCGCTTCCATTTATTTTATTTTTATTTTATTTTATTTTGCTATAATCTATTTTACTTTTATTTATGATCTACTTCTTCCACCTATACGCGTAAAAATAAGCGCAATGAAATGCTAACACATTCATTGTTGTTTGCAGAAAGAGTTGAATTCAAAGAAGGAAACGTTCACAACGGATAAAACCCGTTTTTCATCTTCGGATAATTGCGACTTTTTCGAATGCGAAAGTTTACAGATCAAAAAGCAGTTGTAGGATTCGAAAGTTCCAAAGAGAATTTTTACATCAAAAAAATAGTAGTACTTTGCGGTGCGATACTTGAAAGTAAGGAATTTGACTGCCACATTACAAAAACGACCATTGTCTTGACTTGTTGGAGACGGGTCGACTTCCTAAAGTATAACTACCGTACCCTAATAATTAGCTTTACGTTATTTACACCAGTTATGGGGCCCACGAAAAGGAGACGACGCTGGTAGACAAATATCTAGAGTTTTCTGTAAATGCAGATAGCGAAGGAGCCCCGCCCCCCTTCTCCGAAAATGGTCCCAAGATTCTTAAAGTTGTTATACAGCCTTGAAAATGCACATGTGCTTGTTTCTACTTGTAAATAAATGAAATAGTTTTGAACCTTTTGAAAAGTTCAATTTAGGAATGTAAAATATTTCAAAGCATTCCAAAAGTTTTTCGAAGAATGCATTATGTTTGTATTCCTCCCCACCCACCTCTCTTCTGAAAAAGATTCTCGGACCGCTTTTGACAGTGTAGCCACTCACTGAACCAGATACTGTATTACTTGACATGCATTCCGAAAATTTGTTTGGAATTTGAAATTTTACTTTTCACTTGTTTTTCTTCATATCAGTTTTCTTCCTATGACTATAGACTGCCTTATAAAAATCGATAGATATTGATTTTCGAGAAGGTCAGTTTATAATTAACGAGCGGCGCTCTCAAATAATGTCAAAGCCTCTCATCTAGGAAATATGTATGTCGTGACTCTCACAAGTGTGTTAAAAAATCGAGAATTTTATTTATTTTCCAGAATCAATGAAATCCATTTTGGCGTTTCTCTCCACATATTTCCCTTTCTCTCTGCATGATTTGTTCTGTGATCTGTAACAACAAATTTTTGAAGCTGCTATCTATTGACAGCAAAAGAAAGCTTACCAAAATTTTGCCGAAGTTACTAAGTTGTTGGCAGAGAATTTTTCCGTAAATCATGTAGTCATGTGAAGCCAGGATCTGCAAAAAATTTTTTTTTGAATTTTTGCACCTTGATGAAAATATTTGGACGTCAGGCAGGAGGCAGCAAAGGCTGGCCGCATTTGCTTCTGGAAGTGCCTGGGGAGCTCCAGACTTTCTCGCGCCTCTAATCATTCTTCGCACCTTGTTTACTTTATAAGCCAAATAAAATGGATCTGGATCAAATAAAATGCTTCTTGAAGAGTATTTTACCTATTACATCTTACCTCAGATCAAGTTGAAAATCGTGCAATTTCTTCCACTTTTAGCTATAATCGGTTTCAGCCTACAGAATATCGGATTCAGAGCAGTTTTCTTCAGAATTCATGGAGTAGGAAGGATTGAGACTGCCGCAAAATAAAGTACGTAGCCTTCAGTCTTCGGAGTTCTTTTTTTCGATTGGAATCATGACGGAAAAGTTACAAGGATATGCTCAACATTCCGGCTTGAAGATTTGATACACCAAGGTATACTTCCATAAATACTCAAAATTCTGGTCTTTATACCGCGTCCGATGTTGAATCAGGGAATTACTATTTCATTCGCTTTGAATATGAAACTTAAGACCTAAATCTCGCAAACTACCCCAACTGAAAAGTTTACGAATTATTGGGCATATCAGATAGATACTTAGAGATGCGAAGAAGTAATTAGAAGCGCGAGGAACTCTAGCGCTCCCCAGGCACTTCCATAAGCAGAAGCGGCAGGCCTTTGCTGCCTCCTGCCCGACCGCCAAAATATTTCAAGACTCACCTTTGCAGCTGCCAAAGCTGCCTCTCCAGCGCCAAAAACTGTAGTGCAACCGATTCCTGTGGGCATTCTTAGTGAGGACCACAGATCCAATTGAATGTTGTTTTCCGTCACTGGTGGACAATTAATGACCTTAATAATTACTGTGGGGGCGCGGTATTGATGCCTTATGCGGCAACATCTGGTCAAATTTGTTTAACTGAATTTCTTTCTTGGAAAGTAATTAAGAAATTCTCAATTGGCCCATTGAACAAGCGACATCTCACATATACCATTTGTGACCGAGAAAATTAATCCTAAACTTCCGCCCACTACCGTACTTCTTGATCGTATCACTCGAAAGGAGTACGATGCTGAGCGAGACTTTAGAGGTCAAAATCTCGGCCGCGAATACACTTTATGATCTGTTTTTTGGGTAATGGTTTGCTTGAGGTCTTTCAAACACTTTCCACATGAAAAACCTAGTCTTCTGCAAGACAAGGAACTCACTGGGAGACTGGTGTTCCCAGCCAAAACCGGTCCTAGACCATTTGATCGTCCCGCTACTGCTATGATTACCGTAGGTATTTCTGTGTCTTCGTACTCGCTCAGGATACTTAGGGTTTCCCGGGTAGTCTGTAGAATGACATTTTATTATTCAGATTTTGTTAATTTGGGTTTTAAAAAACCTTGTGAGCAGAACTGATGCGTAAAATCGGAATGATTCCGAGCGCTTTGCAGCCGGTTGCAATTTTCTCACAATGTGACATATCGGAGGGCGATCCCATCAAGATCAAAGCCCGACAAAAGCGATCCGCTGAGAACTTGCTCGTCAAATCCATCACCTTTGAAGGAATGATTACTTACATTTCCAAAAGTAGGTTTAAAACAAGTACCTTCTCGTAATTTGAAATAAGCTGTTGCAACGCTTCTGAGGTCACTTCTTTCATCTCTCTGCAATGTAATTTCAAAGTAAAATTTGAAAAAAATACAGAAATCAATACCTATAAAATTGCTTGTCTAGCTGAAGACGTTTGTCCCCATGGGGCCAAACTCGCCACGAATCATTGTCGATCACATCAGCAAGCACAATACTGCCATGATCGGTGACTCCATATTCCACCTACACCAAAATTCTTATTTGGAAAATTTTTTTCAGGCACATGATATAAGTCTGGACCGATAGGTTCTGCAGAACTTTGGCGAAAAATTCTCAAAGGGAGAAGTTTGGCTAAACTTCCGCAGGAGTTTGGAATCTCAAGTTATAATTTTTGTATTGAGAAATTTTGTTTATGTCACATGACATAAGAATCGCTATAATAGAACTATATTCGCGAAAATTTGGCGGAACTTTCGCCGGGTGGGGTAGTTTGGCCGAACTTCCGCAGGGTTATGGAACCAAAATTCCTTTTCTTTTGCCAAAATCCCTCCCGATTTGCGCTTCTTGATTGTGAAATGTAAAATTTATCTTACCTTCATGTCAATCAAGGCACAATCAGCTTTATTCCAGGCCTTCTCCAATGTGCGGAAGATTGCAGAGGTCATACGTTTCATTAAAGAGATCTGCAATAATTGCACTATTGGAAAAGCTTAATAAACTTGCAAAAGCCGGATTCAATTTGTTCAAATCTAACAGGCCCGTCGAATACAGAAAAAAAGTTTTCAGTTGGTCTACACCACCAAGAAATTTTTTTTTCGAAATTTTTGAAATTTCAATAATTTTGTCGTTGAAGTATTCTTTGAATATAGGCTGATTGACTGATTGTCTATTTCAGTCATCGATGCGCTTGCTCTCTATTTTTCAATCCTGATTTTTATTTTGACATATTCTTACAATGTAGACTGCTTTAATTTGGTACCTTGTTAAGGAAATCAGTCTGTATCCACACGTAGGTAAAAGCGTTTAACGAAATTGTTAGCGATTTTTAAAGCAGTAAATTTTTTTACCTCCATTCCAACTTTAATGAGAATATATAAGCTATTAGAATATGAGTGTTTTCTTTTTGAAACAATGAATTTCGTTACCTCCATTTTCCCTATCTTTACGCCTCTGAACTTGAAATTTGCACACTCAATCTGCTCATCGGAGTATTGTGGGTCATCGTTAGCGTCATCCTGAAAATTTGACAAAAAATAAGTTTATTTTCATTAGTGGCTTTTCCTAGCCACATGCTGCAAGCACGAATTGCGGGCACAGAAAGGCGCGGGCGCGAAGCCTTCCAGTCGCCGAGAGAGAACGTGAAAACTTGATACGCAGACGGCTAAATGGCGCGTTAGCCATAGATGTCGCACTGCGTTTTTTTGGTAATCATACATATTATCCCGGTAATGTTTCACAGCATATTTTGATTCATACTTGTAGAGACAACGCTTAAAGGCAGCGGACAGGCAAAATGGACCCCTGTCAGATTTTGGTAGTTTCGGGTAGTGGACCCCCAAGTACACCGTAGCCCCAACCCCACATTCCAATTCATGCGCTAAGTCCTGAAAAAAGCGCTTCAAAACTCCACTAGCCCCGCCCACTTCCATTGAGTGGGCGTTATTGGTGGAAGTTTGAAGCGCTTTTTTCAGGACTTAGCGCATCAACTGAAAGTTGGGGTTGGGGCTACGGTGTAATTGGGGGGTCCACTACCCGAAACTACCAAAATCTGACAGGGGTCCGTTTTGCCTGTCTACTGCCTTTAAGTGTTTTGAGTAAACTAACCTTAAAAAAAGTTTCGATTTTTGGTTCTGCAAAGCGATATCCTTGTGGAACTCCAGGGTTTCGTTTCAGGAACGACCCTGTTGCCACTCGTCGAGCTACCCATTCGATCGGTATCATCTCACATTTTTTCGCTATGAAGTCGGTTTCACTAGCTTCTTCCACAAAGTGCGTTTCCATGCCTAATCAGAAAATTTAAAGTTATATTGCGTAAAAAATCAAGCTAAACAATTCCTACCTATATTTTGCAAATATTTGAACACATTTATAGTTGTCTTGTTTGCGATGACAGCTTTTCCCGTCAGCTGATCTTTGCGAGCGGCATTGAATGCGGTGAGCTGATCTTTTGATCGGATGAGAACATAGTCCTAAATAGCAAAAATGATCTTTACTGAGGTATCTCCCTCAGACATCTTAAAAAGACAAATTTTTTTATTTAGCAGCTTGAGGGATATATAACCAACTAGACAAAAGGATAAGGTGTCGGACTACGAAAACTCTAAACTTTAACTCCTCTCTACCGATATATGCTGAAATGAAAAAAACATCCCAAAATCTGAAAGCAGAAATTTTCTTTCTGAATTGAAAAATTGTTAAGTCTGACGAAGCCCATCTTACAATCGTGCTGTGATGCTGTGAACATTTGATACTTAAATTATTGATTGACTAATTGTAGTACCTCATGTCCTTTAATCCCAAAAATCGCTTTTGTCTTTCCTTCGGCTATCTGCGTAAGATTGCTTGGATCCGAGACAAAAGAACTGATTGGGCCCATTTCTAAAAAGTCTTCTTGCAGAAGAAATGAGAGACCCAGTTGAAATAAAAAGAACAGTTCAAATAGCCGATCTCTCAGAAGAGGTTTAGCAGCAACAATCCTATGACATTTTCAATTTTCCAGAAAAGAAAAGAAATTCCTTTATAGGGAAGATGGAACTACTGCAGTTTAGGGAAGAGATACTCATTAAATGAACAAGTATGTCACCGTTTTTGGGGTGGGTGACCTTGACATGTGACCTCTGAAGGATCTTGCCCATGGCTATTTGTATCGTATCACCTCGTCGTAGTCCATCCGATCTGCTTAGATCTAGAACAACATTTTCGTATCGTTAACTTACCCAATGCCTGGGAAAGCAAGTCGCTTCCCTTTTTTATGCATCGCATAGCATAAACCTGAGCAATCAGTTTTTTCATATGGTCTAGCATGTGAAAGATGACATCTTTTTGATGAAAAATGATGGAAATGTAGAGTTGCTAGTTTTGCCCACTTTCAGTCACCACCTGAAGAGGGAAGATCTTCTCGCAACAAAGTATTTGGCTGTCCCATATGTAAACCCGTTTCAAATAAATCAAAATGCTATTCTTTTCCTAGCAGACTTAGGACATTGTTCGATAGTGCTAAGCAAGCTCTACAAAATGATCACCGAAAATCCACCTGAGTTAAATTCAGGTAAAGTTTGGAGTTCAAACTGGAAGAAATTTTATCGCTTGAAAATGAAATTTTTAGGAGAAAATGCCCTACGAGACTCCAAACTCGTCCTCATACAAAATCGTATCTATCGTAGGTACTCAAAAATGCATTTGTAAAATTTTTTCATGCATAGAAATCGAAAAAAAAAAGAAGTTCAAAAGTGATAAACTCTGCTTTCAGCTTCACTCACATAAGCGATTCTATACTGCAAGCCTTAGTGAGTATAATCTTAGAATTATATCTCCTTATGTGCTCTTAGGTCTTATAGTCGAAAATACCAAATTTTACATGAAAAACCCGGAAAGTGCCACTTTACATGACTATCAATGTTTCTCAATTTGAGCGCAAAAAATCCAGCAAATGTATTTATGAACCCATGTGTCTACTGTATAATGACCAAGCTGGAGGTCCTAAGAATCTTCTGGAAGAGATTCGATTTTTGGGGTAGTTAAAAATTTTAGTTTTTGGCTCCAAGCTTTGCCTGAATTACGATTTAAGTGATTTTGGATGATCATTATTAGAGCTTGCTTTACTCTGTCGAATGGTACCCCGAAGTCTTCCAGGAAAGCTAAAACAGTTTGATTCAAGAAAAGGGGCTTACTTTTAGGACAATCTAGTGGAATGTTGACTAAAGACTAGAGTTTTAGCGATAAAAGTATTTTTTTTGACATTCTTGGAGAACTTTCTTGGATAACGTTGATTCAATAAAATTTACCTATAGTTGTTACTGGTATTTTCTTTTTTCTGGGGACAAAAATTTGAGAATTTTGTTAAAGAACTTCTTCATCTTTTTTCAGTGATTGCATTTCACTTACAAATTTCTATGATATATCCCTAATCGAACCACGTAAGGTTCCCACTGCAGTAGCTTGTCATGAAAGATTCAAGACTTTAGACTTAATGATGGCTAGATTTATGACAATACATGGTTAACCCGAACGGTGCACGATCCGTAGTACTGAAAAATTATGTTTGATTTTCAAAATTTAATTCTGGAAAATGTCGAAAAAACAGATAAAAATCGAAGAGTGTTATATCATCATATTATACTGATACGAGATTATTTCTGACCATGAAGTCAATTTCACATATACCTTTGAGAAGGATGTAGGGCGACTTTTACGACCGGCTTCTTGAGCTGACAGCTTCTCTTTTTCAATAATGTCAGAAATTAGAATAGCATTGATTTTTATTCCACACAGACATAGAGAACATTTCACAAGTTTACAGAAAAACAATAATTTTCAGGAAAAGGAGCTAATGGGCTTATACATGTTCTCATATTACACAAAACCGATTGGCCCCAACATTTAGGCAGGTAGATTCATGAGGAGATGGTCAAATGCACACAGTGAATCTAGATCTAAAAAAAGCAACAAAACACAAAAAATTAGCTGTCAAAAAGTAGTAATAAAAAATAATATTTTGGCCATTGTTGCGAGTACCTGTACCTTAAAAAATCAATTTTTGTATTGCATAGCGACCGCGTTATACATTAGCACCAAGACTTTAAAGTAAGAGATTATTCAAACTGTATAGCATAGTCATTGCCAATAATGGCACGGTACATTTCCGCATCGTCGTCGTCAACATACGCGCCATAGGTCCGATGCCTTTGAGCGCTGTTGCAAACACCATAAATGAAATAGAGGACTAGGCCTGAAACGAAACGTTCTTATAAAGGCACCGTCCACTCAAAATGAGGGTGATGAGATTTTGATACGGTAGAATAGCGGAGCCCCTAAATGATTGCCTAAGCCCCGCTGCAGAAGATCGATTCCAGAGCGAGAAAACCGTTCCAAAAGGTAGAAGCGGTGGTGGTCGCTCCGCCCATCAATATGGGTGGTCTGATGATGCAGTCGAAGACTGGGCTACAATGCGTCCAGAATTGTAAAGGTCTGGATAAAGGGCGAGCTTCCAACTTTTGAACACAAAGCCCAATTTTACTTGTATTTCCAGGCCCCACACGTTGATGGGCGGAGCGACCATTTTCCCCTTCGCATTCTCAAGCAATTTTCTCGCGTCCGACCGTTCCCTTTGTAGCGCAACTTTTGCGATTACTTAGTTTGAGTCCCCGCTATTCTACCTTGAAACACCTCATCACCCTCATTTTGAGTGTACGGTGCCCTTAAACACGAAAGGATCCGTAGAGACATTATGCCGCTGGATAGGCTCCGCCTGTGCGTACATCTGCCACAAACCATGCGTCTCAACACACTTTAGTCCGTAGCAGTTGCACGCGCAGTGGGGCTTATTGGCAAGCGTAGAATCAAGCACCTTAGAAAAATACTCTTGATCTTACCGATAAACGACCAAGCAGCAAACATCAGAAGCGTAAGCGGACTTGTAGTGGCGAGAGCGAAGATCAGCACAAAGAGGGTGAGATAGGAGACGTATGGAAACAATGGCACTTTTCCTTGCCTCCTAAAATGAATCAACGGTAGGCGAAATACTGTGTTACTGTAATCTTTTGTAAAAAAAAAACGCAATTGAGTCTGCTCTCTAACGAAGGAGATTGCTTTATCTTGCGAAACTGCCGCGTTCGAGCATCTTTCATCATTAGAGCGTACGTTCGCGCACGTCTCGCTTACATGGGCAGGCCTTCGTTTGGGATAAGCCTCTAGAAAACCCGTCTACTGCCGCTGCTTCAATTACAGTGGATTTAGGATTAGAGAAAAACACGACAAAGCCATTTCCTGGCTACTGTAAGCTGTAGTGGTACAGTAGGCATACGGTAGAAGTCGATTTTATTGACCGATTTTTGCAACAAATATAAAAAATTATTGTTTAACATAATGAATGTCTCTTCCTTTCCAAGGCTGCACGCAACTCCGACGATTGGACATCTACAGTGTACCCTTTGATTCAACTGGCTTGACAGCTGGAAGGTGGGGCTTCGCGACCTAATTAAGGCTAGATAATGATCAGAGAACACGCGCGCGAGAGAGATGCAGATAGCGTCGCGGGCGCAGGAGGCCCTAGTTAGGTCACAAAGCCCCGCCTTCCGGCCGCTAAGCCAGTTGAATCAAAGGTTAGCTACCCTACCATTTACGTAAGAGCACTTAATTATCGCGCGAGAACTAGTCTTTTCTCCATTTAGCCATCTTTGAAAATGACTATTTGAAAGCAAAAGACAGGTTTTTCTGCAAAAATCCGTATTTTTATGGACAGATCGGAAATAACAGAGCAAAGCACATTTAAAAAAGCAAGACATACCTTTGTAAGTGATCATTTGTTGTAATTCTTGTTCCTAGCATGATTGATAAGAACACAACGGCAAGAATTAAAGACAACACTACGGAAGAAGTGACCTGCAAGATCTTCACTAAAGCTCAGACAACATTTAAAATCTAGTGACTCACACTCTCAAATCCGGAAAACACTGCGAACTGGCAGAAAAGAGTAGAAGATGTGAGGAAAAGAACGAGCGTCCACTTGGATTTTCTAGAAAAAAAGAACGTTGCTTGTTTACTTTGAATCCAAATAATCTTCAAAGCCAAATCTTTTTTTTAAACTTTCAATGTTCTAAAATTACTACTAATTTTAGTCTCAAGATATGTATGGCGTCAATATCTAAGAATACTTTCGACTTATGTCGACTTTTGATTGTCGGAAAATTTTTTTCTCATTTTGACTATGGTTATGTTGTTGTAGGTGATCTTTTGCAAACAGCTCGAAGATAGTAAATCATAGAGCCGCTTCAACTCTTACGGCAAACTCCGCCCAATTTTTGCCTTTAATAAGGGCCCCTTTTCGTGCTCAAAGCGATAAAAGAAGCCGTAGCTGACGTTGAAAACTCATAAGACTTCAACCTCGGCACTGCACTCCGTCAAATAAGCTCCACCCCCTCAATGGTAAGCTTCGCCCAATTTCTAACAATGCCGGAATTCGCACCAATTTTTGTTATTTTGTGCATTCTTGGTCGTGTGGGCGGAGGTTGTCACAAGGGGAGGAGCTTGAGACAAAGGGGGTTGAGCTGCCCCTCCTACATGTATCTTCATTCTTCATGTTAAGATGCATGCATCGAGGTGAAGATAGACACGGAAGAATTGGTTTGACGTCAGCTTGTTGAAACGATTAGCTTATGCAGAACTTTATTTTATTTTATTTTATTCCACGTCCGTTAGCAGATTTCTAATAAAGAATTTCTATTTTCCCAAGAACGGTCAAGTGCTATAAAAATTCACCTATAATGCTCATCGATATTAACCGGCGTTGAAGCTCGGCCGGCACCATGGAAAGTTTCCACAAATGGAAGCTCAGGCACTTCTTGAGCATAAAGATGAATCCGTTGAGGAGTTTCATCTAAACAATAAAATTTTCAAGCCTGAGAAGCTTTCAATGCAACGACCAAAGCGTTTGAATGAATGAATAAGTGAATAATTATTGACACTATACTCTAAAAAAACTCCTTTCGAATTCTGCTACTGCAAAAAAAAAAGAAAGAAAGAAAAAGCGATGCACCATCTGAGTCTCCTTGTGAGCAAGCGTCGGTAATACAATTATGCCTTTGTTGTTGACGGGAAACTACTGGAGCCTGAAACAACTTTTTTCTAGCAATCAATCGATAATCGATTATGTAATCACCGTACCATAGAACTGTAGTGTGAAACAGATTTTACTAGGACGGGTTCTTTTTCTTCCTTCTCGGAGAGGCTTTTCTCAAGCTTCTGAAAATTTATTTTGAGGTTCTTGAATTACCTAATGGCGACCTGATCAAGGAAGTTTTTTCTATGGGGGGGGGGGGGGAGGGGGGAGGTAAAGCAAAAATAGAAACCAGTTCAAGGGACATTTTGCAGCGCCTTCTAATAACAGTTTGGGAAGTACCTTGAATTCTTCGGAAATCTGTCACATGCCAGGGCTCTGATCTCTAGAATGGCGAGAGTCACGTCTTTTCTCGAAGTGAGGGCGCAAACCACGCCCCCTTCTTTGATAGAAAGCAAACCACGCCCCTTCCCCTGATAGAGTGCAAGCCACCCCTGCTTTTTCAAAAATGGCCATAAGATGAAAGGCATGAAACGCGAACGCCACACGTATTAATCGAAATCTCAATTCCGATGCCTTCTCCCAAGATTCTGACAAGTTGCCCCTCCCCCCTCCCCTCGTGTTTGTTTGACAAAGCTGTGTACTTCTACAAAATTTTCGGATATTTTTTTATATTGAATCGTCAGAATTTGCAATAAAAAACAACGTCCACACTTTTATAATTATTAAATCACTTCCAAAATCCCGTGATGTCTGGCTTTCTCTCAGCTCTCCCCTCCCCCAGCGTTTACCACAACAGTCAGCAGTCAGCTACCTTCTCTAGCCGCAGTTGATGCCGCTGTGCTTCTCTTTTGGCCACAGCCATCTGCAGAAAGACGGAAGTGTCGACGGAGATGTCGCTATCTTCATCGTCATGTGTCACTGTGCTTGTCACAATACTCGTTTCATCGCCAGCCAAACTCACTTGTTGTCGCTTTTTCCGTATGGATCTGGAAATGTACATTTAGAGGTTTCGCTTTTATGGGTAGATGAGCCATCGTGCGCAGAGACAGGACCCGTCGCGTTCTAATCAAAATAGCTTGTCCTCTGGAGAGACAGAAGAAGGTAAGAGTAACGGAAGCGAGTTTGATAGAAGAGATGCAGAAGCGTCCGCAAACGCGCCATGTCTCTGCGTGCGAATACCCGCTTATAAAAGTGCTCACTTGTAATGGCTGGTCTCATGTGGAATACCGACCGGTTCGGGAGTGTAGTGTTGGAGAACCACCAAGCAGATCTTAATCAGCATTTTTAGATTCAATACTTTTCTTCCCACTGGGGGAACGTTGATCGTATATAGTTGCTGCTTCAGCGACACATGAAAAAACCAAAAAATTCAGTTACAAATCTCGCCCATACCGTATCCGAGCTGACCGACCAACCACCGTCCTTGAGTACGGTACTGAGCGAGAGTTTAGAGCTGAATTCTGTGGCTGCAGAACAATTTTGCCAGCCTTCCTCTCGAAAAAAACATACCGCCACAATCATTTTCATAGGAGTTGTGAAAAAAACGAGGTGTAGTAGCACGTTGCGATGAATGAGCAGACCGAAAGACACAAGGATAGAAAAGATAAATACGGACATAACCGGTCGAGCCGTCATATCGGCTGGCAGTGGAAGAAGACGATCTGAAAAAATTTGAAGGTGAACTTCAGAGACGGGTCTTGCAGGGATGGGAATATTATGCGGGAATAGGAGGGCTTTAACTAATTTACTGCCCTAGCGGCAGCTCTGGCTTCGTTTGCGACCAAGAATTCGACTTTCAAGTCTCGCCCAGACCGTATCCTAGCGACCAGCCCCGCCCCTGAGTACGGTAGTGGGCAAGGGTTAGGAGTTGGATTATTCTTCTTCGGACTAAATTTATGAGCTTCCGCTTGGGCAGTGGCTTAGCTGCTTCCCAGATGTAAAAGTCCGTACGAGTGTATGAAATTTCAAAAATGAAAAATGCACTTACCCGAGCTGAGGGCATTTATCATGCGCGAGCCAGGTAGAAACGATGCCAGCACGGCTCCGGAGAGACCGCAAACTGCAGCCACGGTCAGCATATATCTGAAGACAATCTTTCATTTGGAGAAGAGGAAGTTTCTTGTGCAAAGCATGGTTGGATTAGCGCCAAAAGTCTTGGCTCGAATAAAAAAAAGGCAAAAGCAAGCGGGAAAGGCACACAAACAAAAAACTGAAAAAAAGGTGAACTAAATGGGAAAGCAGTGCACTTATTTTGCAACAAACCGCATGCGTTGAAAGCCGGCTTCATAGTGTGCTCTGAAGATAACAGAAATATTTTTAAACCCAGCCATTTTCATGCGTTCCAGGCGGCACATACGCTACTGGTCCCAGGGAATGAGTTCGATATTGAGATAGAAATAAACGATAACACAGAATAGACAACAGATGAGGTGTTGTTAGAGGTTGGACATTACTTAGTCGGCAAGCAATTCTTACAAATATGAAACAAAAATTAGTTAGATATACGGGGCTGTGGAATATAAAATCAATCAAACATAGATTTTAACACGAAGAAACCAAACTCAGATTTCAACAAAATGGTGAGTGACCATAAACATGCAATGATGAAAATGTTACTGGATAGGCAGCACTACTTATTTTATAGCCAAGAGGTACAACCTTGAACTTTCGCCAAGTACCGTACTCTTTTCAAACCAATCAGCGTCTTCGAATGCGGCACTATACGAGAGTTGAAGTGGAACAGTCAGATATGAACAAGGCTGGTTTCCAGTCACTCCTCAAAAATTTTTGGGTAAGGAACTTAGCTCAAATCTGTGATGGAAAAACTATACGTGATACAAGCTAGATTTCCGAACTTTTCCGAGGGTGCAGTTAATTGTCCTTCTAAAGAATCACAATTCTCTTCCGTACGAAGGCAATTACCAAAACTGAATAATCTGGGTCTAACATGCATCAAATAGAACTGCAAGGAGAGAAGAAGAAGCACACTTTTGTGCTTCTACATACACAAACAGGTACAGACTTTTATGAAACTATAAAAAGCTTACTAACTTGGCCGCGGGTACATTCAATACGCTGAACATCTCGGGCACAAGCACATTTTCGGGCAGTTTAGAGACATCTGTTGAAAGGCTGGAACATTTCATATTATAGGACCATGATAGTTAGATAGTATGTAATAGATGTTTTGGGCTCAAGTAAAATCCCGCCCGTACCGTATTTCTTTCAAGCGGACCAATCAGCGCTCATGGGCATACGGTATTGGGAGAAATTTTAGATTTGCACGGCCGCGAATGATATATGAGTTGGTGCTTGTGCAATGGCTTGATGAAAAAATCTAGAAGGTTACGGCAGCATACGTTAGTATGGTGCACATTACCGTATGCTACCGTAACCACTGAGGACTTACCTGAAAATCATGACGACGAAGAAGAAGAACAACGAGAGGAAAGTCACTAGCGTTGGTAGAAGTGTAGACAGCTGTTTGCGTGGTGTTTTCGTCTCTTCAAAGAGGTAGGAAGTAGCATCAACGCCAGCAAATGCACACGACAGTGCACATATTGCCTTCAGAACCTGCATACAGTAAGTTTCGACCCGCTTTAGGCGGAAATTGGACTGGCGGGAGTCCGCCTCGCAACAGCTCGCGCCGTTTCGCAGCTACAGTATATCCTATCGTGCTGAGAACCCATGTCTGCGTCTCTTTAATCTCCTTAGCCTTTGCATGGCAAAATGCCAGCGCTATGCGCTCGCAAAGCCTCCAGCGATGCGCATGCGCTGCTCCAGTAGAATGTCTCGCCTAATCCGAGATGAAACCGACTGTAGAAGCAACATGAATGTTCTACCCTAGAAAGGGTCAAAATAAAAGTTTCAACGGCCCAGAGATAAATTCTTGAGAAGTTTTCTTTGCAGTAAAAGCTTATTGAGCTTTTACATTGAAAAATTATTGAGAAAGTATTGCGCCAAGCACAAGAGTGATATTGACATTAGCTAGGACTGGGAAGAACGTGTCATAGACGCAGACATGGTCCTGTCACGATATGCAACTGCTGCGATGTCGCGCGCAGGCTGCTATGTGGACACCGCCTTCTTCTAGGCTTATTTCGGAGACAAACGATGATTGTAGTTTGTTTGAGTAGACTATTTTTTTGTATAGTCATAAAGATTATCGATAGTTTGCAAGTATGTTCAGCAAAGCAAGTTAGGGCGTATAATTTGCTTTTTTTAGGAGTTAAAGCCACTTAAACCTGGATGGTCATGTGACTACAATAGTAATTTGATTGAATAACGGCTGCTATATCCCCTGTTTGATTAGAATAATGAAACAAACTTACTCCATCGAATCCAAATCGGAAAAAATTGGCATCAATCCAATTTTGTGGATCCGCATGGAAAAATCCTACCATAGTACAGCTGGCTGTCATCAGGATAGCCACAACAACTAAGCAAAGCGAAACTGTACCGACGACCTGAAATTTGAAGGGCGTGAATTTTTACTGGTAAAAATAGTAAAAGAGTGTGAAGGTACCCGTAGATTACAGCAGAGGATAAGAAAAGTGATGACTACGGCAAATAATGCTGTGAAATCGTAATCGTCACTGATTATCCACAGTCCCGATTGATGATGGAGCAATTTTAGCGACATGTACGGGTGAAGAAAGCGACGAAATAAGAGATTCTGGAAAAAATCTAATACTTGAGATAACTTTCATACTGTCGTTTAACAGAGTGCCTTTGCGGTGCCAACAGCATTCGCGCGTATAATAGCCACAGTCGCGGCCAGTGATCATTTTTCACCGCAAGTGTTTGCTTGTCTAGCAGCACACTATATAACTTGTCAAACTTGTCGGAGTAGAGCACACAAACACTGGCACGTTGCGCGCGACAAAATACGACGGCGCGGTTTTAGCTGTCTGCGTATATACTGCCTACGTACTCTCTCTCTCCTTCCCTACCACGCTAGCTCCGATGCTTGAGCCGCGCCGCCTAATTGGACGCGGCGCGTACTTTTTCTGCGTCTGAAAACTAGGTGTTTTTTATGTATCTTCACTTACAATATGTTCGCTCCAAGCTCGACAGAGAACTGTGGAAATACAGACGGAGTCAAGGACGGCAGTCCAAGCGACGATGAACGCAGGAAGTTCTCCAAGCATAACGTAAGTGAATTGGTAGAGGACACAGTTCTTTGGCAAGGCGCACGAGAGTTCGGTCAGATGTGCAGCTGAAAAAACTGGTTTTCAAATTTATACTTTGGTAGATTTTGCAATGAAATGGTGCAGTTGCGGGTTGGCAACAATTGCGCGCAGAAACTGGATAGAGGGCTTTTCACGCGCAATTGTTCATCGCAAGAACACATACTAACAGTAAAAGCTACACAGATACACCTAAATGATGTTTTTGCTCCAGCATTTCCTAGATTTTCATTTCTTAAAAGTCAAAAATTTCTTGATGAAGCTATTCGTGATTATTTGAACTACTAATATTCCAAATGAGTTTTCTCTGGTCAAAAAAAAACAGACAGTTTTTTCCTCTAAAAATGAAAAATAAGACTCACATGCTAGCAATACCACTATGAAAGTAATTAGCACGGCCAGTAAGGTCGATGGTCCAGCCAGACTGGTCAATGAGAACGGCATCAGCACGAATATAAGCAGAGGGACGGAGCAGGTGCATACTGCAAAACATTTGAATATTTCTGAACTCTTGAACTTGGCTATGACTCACCAAGAGCTATGGTCATCGGCAATCCGAGAGAGCGACTGAACTCTGAGTGATGCAGAAACTGCTCGGTCACTTTCTTCTGCCTCAACAGAACACCCAGCATTTTCTGCAAATAAAATCATTGTGCCGCAACAAAGATAAACACGAAAGCGTTATGCTAGCTAGCATTGCATGGTAAAGACAATGGGTGATAATTAGAACGGCGGAGACTTCTGAATCAGTTGCCATTACAAATATAATAGAATTGATTGAACTTATGAGTGGGCACCAGGGCTCGACACGAGTGGCACCAGAAAAATCTCAAACAACCCCCTCCCCTTTGACGCTACTTCCTGAACGAATAAAAATCCTCAAAAAAGAGATTCGGCTAAAAAACGTCGCAATTTTTACCAAATACGATATCCAGTTTGACCCGGTGCCAGCTGTGCCGTATTCTGATGAGCACTCGTGTAAAGGCAGCTCTCACAAGGGAAGGATAATTGGTCGAAGTGGCCTTTAGAGATGAGTTGTATACCATGATGGAGGGCACAAAACGCTAACTCCAATTCTGTCTTCCTTGTCTGCGGCGCATTCCTGGACGAGGAGTTATGAGCGTTTAAAGGAGCAAAAAATGAGTGTTTTTCTGGGATAAAAACAGTGGCTAAAATTCTCCCAGCGCCTGTATGAGGCAGCCGGAGTAATATCTCATCTAAGAGTACATATTTTATAGAGTGCTGAGATTACCACTGGTTTATTTGAGCGCTAGGAATAATGTTACTACTGTTTTTATGTTATTCGCACGTTTAATTTTTTTCTCCAGTAAACGCTCATTAGTTTTCGTCCATAAACGCGCCGCAGATAAGGAAGACAGATTTGGAATCAGCGTTTTATGCCCTCCAACATGGTATACAAATCGTCGCAAAAGTCACTTTCTGACCATCCTTCCCTTGTCAGACTTACTGTGTAGAATTTGAGATACTAGCTACGGAAACAATTCAAATTATCCTGAGAAACAACTTTGCTTTACCTTGTACAAGACGCACTCTCCCCCCCCCCCTTCCTCTTCGAGATGTCTTATGCAAAAGTATTTTCTTTCATTTGTGAGTAATAGAATATTTCCATGATTATTTGATCATCATCTTTTGGAATTGTTGGCTTTTAGGTTTCCTTCTCTTTTCTTTTTTTCTCGTAATCTGAGTAAGGTAGAGAATTCGATATCATCCAAAAACTGTAAGCCCCTATTGACCGAACAAATTCTAACGCAGTGGGAGGAGTTGCTGTGAGTGTGCACTATCTAAAAAAATCATAATTTTTTTTGAAAAGTGTAATAATGGCGATTTTGAAGTAAACTAGAGTAAAGGACAGTGAAACGATTTGAACAAGAGACTTCAACCTCAGAAAAAAACTCTTCACTATCAACTTGCGTACTGTCATGAGATTTTTGAAAAGCTGGTACTCTAGAATGAGCGGGCCAACAAGATTATTTTTTGCGAATATTAAGCTTGTAGACTCTTGGTAGTTCTGCCCCACTTTGGAATTGTCTTCCCATCGAATAAGATAGGATTATGGAGTTTATGAAGTACATCGAACTTGTACTACTACTTCTCTGACTGGTTCTAGCATATCGAAGTAGAAAATGAATGGAATCATTCATCACTCATTGCTTGATGATCTACGGATTCGTACAAGAAATTGCAAATATTACGAAAAAAGGTCAACCGTCGTTGAAGTGTCGTATTACCTGGCGTTTCTGAGACTGAAGTATGTGACTGTGGATTTTCTCTTTGCAAGTCGTTTCCGCTAAGATTGTTGCCACAAAGAGAATCTATTTTACAAAAATGTACAAAATTTCTTCAAACTCAAGCCCGTTTGTGTCGTTTTACCTATAGTTATCGGGAAAAACTGAAACCCTTCGCATTTGCAAGAAGGGGAAGAAAAAGGTAAGCTAGAGTGCTTCACATTACTTTTTTGTCGAGGAGGCACTTAAGTGTTCTTCCAAGACTGGAAGGACAGTCGAGTCTACTGCACTAGTCCATCAAATCGGAAATTAAATTTTTTATATCTCACTAGTAATGGAAATAGTGAAAAAACATGCTGCACATAACCTTAACCTAGATGCAGACATAGAATGAAAAGAAGGAAGGGGGATGGTGGGAAGGGCGGGGTAGCTCCGCTGAAAACACATCTTACAAGGGACGATACTCAATGTCCGTGGCCTTTCAAAACGTGATTCATACCATTACACTCGTCTTCGAACGCTGATTCCGAATCTGCCTTCCGTTTCTGCTAATCGTTTCTCTGAAAGAAGTTATGGCCTAATTTTGAGCCAAGTTTGGCTGCTCAAGGGAAATATGGTCATTGGAACGGCCTGTGCCGCGGCCGCTTTCTGGTCTAGTGGTTAGTGCAATAGCCTTGTAAGTTGATGCAGGTGTACGTTCAAACCAGGGTCAAGCGTGTGATGCGACTGTCGCAACGGGGGGTCGTAAAGGGGGCCTACGGTGAGGGGGGGAGGGTCTTAAGAGGGGGTAGTTTGGATAAAAAACTGTACGATTGAAAGCAAATCAAATAGCAAGTTATCACATGTACTTAACAATAAATTCATGGAATGCCGTGTACCAATGTTTCAAATAAAAACGAGTGAACAATAATTTGAAAACATTTGCAAGCGTAGAAATTCGCTTCATTTGCTGCACTTTTGAAAAAAATTTTTTCATGGGAATCGCTATTTCTCCCGCAAAATATTGTCTCAAACGAGGATCGAACCTTGCTGGCATGACTAAAATCCAAAAAATAAACACTTTAAGAAGCTCAAGTGCTACTAAAGGCATGTATGTGTGATAAAGATGTTGGATGTACCGGTTGGTGTAGACATCCTGTTTCCGAAGGCTCACTGAAGACTCGCACACTCGACAAAAGCGCACATATAGATCAACGATGACAATCAATAATTCGTAAATCTTTTTGTAATGCCATTTATGCGGCCCTTACAATTTATGTGTACTTTAGATAAGCCCTGCTACTGCTGTGCGAAATCTGGTGTTTTTTATAAATTGCGGATTTTCTTATGATTTTATGTATAGTAGCAAAAAATGAGAAAAGGGGGGTCGTATCTGCGCCTGATCTAAATTTCTCCGGAGCTATTGAAGCTTGTTAGCTGCAAACTTGCTGTAATACGAGGCCATCCCTCTAGTTTTTATCATAAGAATTTCAGGATGTTTTATAATTTCTCTTGTAAGTTACAAAATTTTAAGCTCAAAAATCCCAGTTTTTGCTTTTTAGGATCGCATCTAAATTTGCGAGAGCCTGATCTAAATTTTTTCGAGCTTACTGCTCCTCAAGGGCTGAAACTTTTTCTATGAATAGTGTGCGCACTATTCTACAGAACCTGTGTTTTGCAGCCTCTCAGTCTTTTCCTGGCCTTGATTACGAAATTTCAAACTACCATGCTCATGCACGTTCTTGACGTCGTTCTGGACGGCGCTCAAGCGGTTTTTTTCGCGGGAAAAACTGTGGAAGAGGTAAGAACTGAGCTTCTTAGTCGAAAACATCTTTTATACAAGAGTGTCATTTTGTTCTCCGTGTAAAAATTTGTGTCGCATACGGGAATCGAATTCGCTGGTCTGAAGTATGCCTGAAAATTCAAAAGTAAACTTGCAGAATCTCAAACATTATTGAAAGTGTGTATATGTGCTAGAGATGCTGAGCGCACCCATTGGCCTAGAAATTCTGCTTCCGAAACCTCACTGAAGTTCCCACGCAGGTGTTTTTTGAGATTGACATTCGTTTATGCAGCTTACCGCGAGAAATGTGGGCAGGGGAGGTAAGGGCATAGATGGGGGAGGGGGAGGGGGGGGGGGTGGTCGTACGAATGGGTACCTTCAAGGGGGGGGGTCGTAAATGAGGGTCCAGGACCGCATCAACACGCTTGACTCTGGTTCAAACCCCTTTGTGTTTCTACTTTTGCATTACCACAATTAAGCTTGTTCGAGAAAATTTACTTGAGCTATGATCATTGGATACAATTTAGCGCAAATAGTAATCATTTTTTCCGAATTTCCACTTTTTTCAAAGAGTAAAGGCGTTCAGTTAGCTCGATGATGCGAATGAAGGTTAATTGAGGTAATGCAAAACTGAAAAACACGAAAGGATTTGAAATTGAAACTGCATCAACTCATGGGGCCATCTCACTAAACACTAGACCACATTGCACCGGTAGCGCTGGCGCTCCGACCATATTTCACTAGGCATCCACAATCCGCGCGATCCATTATAACATTTTTGAAGCGATTAGCAGAAACAGAAGTCAGATTCGGAATCAGTGCTCCAAGATGACTGTAATGGTATACATATCATCTCAAAAGGCCACGGACACCGAGTATCGTTTTCTTGTTAGTGAAAAGAATGATTTACAGAAAGAAACTGAATGATTCGAAATTGAGACCACGGAAACTCCATTTTCGAAAAAATCTTTTTCAGAGTCATTTTTCGATATGAATTTAGAAGTTGGATAAAAACCGAAGCTGAAAACTGACGGTTATTATCAGAAAATTAAGCAAAGGATTTTCAAAGCTATGGAAATTCTTTGATAAAGCTAGAGTCGGAGGAGGCGAGAAGTAGCTAAACAAAGGACTTGTTTGTACTTCTGACAAAAGAAAAAAATCTTTGCGAGGGTGTGAGAACACTTGAGTGCCTGGTGTGTCTGAGTGCATTGAGTGTCTGAGTGCTTCAATAATAACAATTTGAAGCTTAGAAATAGTGAGAAGTGGAGAAACATTGCTTCATTTTTTGTCAATGTAGTCTGAATTCTCAGATTGTCAACGCTTAGATGCTCTTAAAACTTCTCTACCAAAAATTATCAAATGTGTTTTTCAAACGATAATCACCCTTTGATTTAACTGACTTGGCAGCTGGAAGGCGGGGCTTCGTGATTCAGTTAATGTGTAATGATCAGAGAGCATGTGCGCGGGAGAGAGGTAGATGCGTCGCGGGTGCGAGCGGTCTTAATTAGGTCACAAAGCTCCGCCTTCCAGGGGCCAAGCCAGATGAATAAAGGTTACGTCGCTATGGAAATTTGTTGCAACTGAATTTTTTTTTTGCAAAAGTAAGCGATAATATACTGTTTCT